TTGGTGAGAGAATTAGGAATTGGAAAATGAGAGGATTTTTAATTAAAGGGAACAAATTTCAACCATCAACAAATTCCAATTCGTTCTAAACAACCAACCCCCGTCCCAACGACAACAAATCAATCCCTATTTTTAGAATCTGCACTTCTCCTCATTGTTAGATAAGAATATACAACCAAAACATAGAAAAATACTACAAACCTTCACACCACACACACACTAAGCATAAAATAAACAATGTCTGAAGTATGTATCTCTAATGGGAAATTGGAATGGAAAAGGGGAATGTTTCCTTCTATTATCCGCGATCAATTACAGTGCGCAGATAGGGGCACTGGACATATGCTGATGGAATGACTTTTTACTAACACTACCTCGTTTTTAGGTCAAAAGAACAATTAGAATAACTACCGAACAACATATTTTAAAGGATGTTCCTCCTGTTGAAAACTTTCCGATGAGAAGTTGGTCCATTGAAATTTCAATGTTAGATCAAAATGGTCAAGAAATTGCTGCTAATATTTTAGATAGAGTAACATATAGTTTACATCCTACTTTTCCAAATCCAATAAGAACCATAAAACAAGCTCCATTTAGAGTTGAAGAACAAGGTTGGGGTGAATTTGATATACCTATTTCTATTCATATATCTGGTTTACCAGGAAAAGCTGGTGAAAGAAAATTCCAACATGATTTAAATTTCTTACAAGAGAAATATGTAAATGATCATGTTATTACAATTCCTGTTTCCCCAACTAAAAACCCAGGTTTAAATAAGCTTTTATTAGAAAGTGGTCCATTACCATTTGATGATAGTAATAGTTCAAACAAAAGGAAATTAGAATCTGGAAATGGATCTTCTACTGATTTAACTAATAAACTGAAAAAATCAAAGAGTTCAGGTGGTGCTCCAGTAAAAGGTAGTATTGATCTTGAAAAATTAGCAAATGGTTTAACTAAATTAAGCGAAGATGATTTAATTGTTATTGTTCAAATGGTTACCGATAACAAGACAAGTGAAATGAATATTAAAAATGATGCTGATAATGGTGAATTTACCATGGATTTATATACTTTACCAGAATCTTTATTAAAGAGTTTATGGGAATATGTAAAGAAACATACTGGTGAAGCTTAAGAAAATCATAGCTTATTAATTTGCTGTTTAGTGTATTTAATTAATTATAAATAAATTTTGTATTATTTCTTTGAAGTTTCGAATTCTCTAATTTATTATAAAAAAAAATTGTATAACCAACTTGATGTATAAGAATTTCTAGATTTATGGTAAAATTGATTTTAATTGGTTGGTGGTTTTACAGAAAAAGCATTTTATTAAATGAATTGTAAATACAAAAGACTTAAATTATAAAAGAAAAGCACAAAAAAACAAATTAAGATGAATACACAGTAAGAAGTACCTTTTGTATGAAGCATGTGTGTAGATTAAACAGACCACACCTTTATTGTTGTGTCCCAAGAACCTGTAGCCAAAGCACTACCATCAGGACTAATTGCAACTTGAGTTATTTTGTCTGCATGTTCAGTTCCAACAGTTCCAACAACTTCATTCTTCAAAGTATCCCAAACAATACATCCATAAGCAGAATAACATGAATATATAAATCTACCACTCTTTCCAAAATCTAATGAGAAAAGCCCCAACTTTTCAGCTTCAGAAGTTGAATTCAAACTTGCCATAGTACTATATTGATCTGTCATTGCATCATTTCCATTCCCAAACATCTGCTGACCACTGAACATCCCCCCTCTACGTCCTCCACTACCACGTCTTTCACCTGGAGTTGCTGGTACCGCCATTTGTGGGAAACTTTCCAACCCACGATTATGTAATTCAGAAGCAAGTGAATAATTTGATAATTCACAATCTGAACGTAAATCAAATAATCTGATTAATCCGTCATCAGACCCAGATGCAAACGCATTCCCATCCGGGAAAACTTTTAAACAATTAACATCACTATGTGAAACAAAAAAGTTTTGAGCCGGGGTAGGAGATCTTAAATCCCATACTTTTGCATATCCATCAGAAGATCCAGATACAAATAAATTATTACTAAATAAATTTTGTGGGAAAGTAGTCAATGTTAAAACATCACCAACATGATCAATAAAATCTCTCAGTTTTTTACCTTTGCTTATATCCCAAAGTGCACATGTCATATCACCACTTCCTGTAATTATAGACTTATTATCAATGAATTCACATTGGGAAATATAAGCAGTATGACCACGAAACATGGATTCCACCGATTGATAAAAAGATGTCGTTAATGGAATACTACTACCCCTCTGGGCTGAGATTGGATTTTCAGTATCCAGTTTGATTTTATAAATGGTACAAACATTATCCAATCCAGCAGAAGCGGCAAGCTTTTCATTGGGGGAAAAACTACATGTTAAAACCCACATATTATCTAATTCAATAGCATGTTTCTTATATCCAGTAATTGCATCCCAAATTATCATATATCCATCCTGTGCCGCCGATAAAATCTTACTAGAATCTGCACTCCAAGTAAGTTTTGCAATTTTGTTTTGATGACCCTTCAATGTATTGTATAGTTTCAAATTACATGAGTTTCTAGGAATATGGGTCACGTTTCTTGATAAAGCACCTAGTGTAGTGTCTTGAGTTCTTTTTTTGATGGTGATTATTTCATTATAAAGAGTCCTGGCTTCATTTCTTGCAAATTCAATTTGTTTTTCAATTGGAAGATTCATATTGTTGCCAGAAGCAGTTGCTGCTGTTGCATACTGACTCATTGTGTTGAAAACCCAGTTGAAATAGTTGTTATTATTAGGGAATCGTTCAAGTTGTTGCTTAATGATAAGGGGATTGTTGTTTTTTTTTATAAAGTTACACCTAAACTACAACCAAAAAAACTTGCCAACTGACGTTTTCTGAGAAATGAACGGAAAGTCTATGCCAAGAATGCGACACATTTCTATAGATGTAATTTTTTGCTTGGCTTGCTTGCCGTGAAAAGATTTTGTCGCTGGTAATAGTTTTTTTCCATGTTCTTCTTCTTGACGTAGATTGTAAATGTTGGCTCAGGTGTTCTTTACATAGCACTGCATTTTGTGTCATATCTGTCAAATATTGCCTCTTGCTAATCTCCACTGATATATTGAGAAGTAACGTATCAATCTACTTGTCCCGATGTGTTTGAGAGAAGCAAGCACCACTTCTCTTCGCTTAGAAATTGTGACGACAATCTTTAAACGTGTAATAATTTAACTCTAAAATTTAAGGTTTTGGAATGCAGAAAAAATACTCGCTTAAATGTTTTTTTGTTGCACATTTCCGAGATTATTTTTTTGCCTTGGTCGCAAATTTTCTCATACATAAGATTCGCAAACATATAAACAACATGCAGAAGAAATCTGGCTCGATAGTAAAGAGGACTGGAGATGTTTGTTGAGCTATCCTTTACATAATTCTAAAACATAAAACTATTTAAAAAAAAATAAAATTGTACATTTTTTAACATTTACAACATAAAAATACATATACGCATACACTCTATTTCTTTTGTTGCTGAACAGAAGGCACAGGTGCAGCAGCTGTCTTCTTACTTCTGGTCTTCGATGTTTTCTGTTTCTCATCTCTCTCCAAATCACCAGTAACTCCTTGTAAATACCCCGGAATCGGAAGTCCATTCTTCAAGAAAAACATCTTCCAATTTCTTGCCTTATCCTTCAATTGTACTTGGGTTCTATTCTTAAGTGCTTCAGATATCTTCCCTCCATGACCAAATAGTTCCAAGATAGTCGCCCATTGAGGCCCTTTCAATTCCAAAGCGTGCCTTAATGCCTTTTCTTCCTCTCTTGTCCATGGTCTTCTGTGGGTACCCTTCTGAGCTGAACCTGGATTCAAACGAATATGAATCTGTTGTTCCTGGATTTCGGAGGGTAGTAATGTATTAGTGATCTCTCTGTATTCGGGACCTTCAAGATCAACCCCTTCTTCCAGAGGTAACGGAATTGTGGGTGGACGATTTTCTCTAGCTCGTTGCATGGTTTCTCTGGATGCGGCCGCGGCGGCTGCTGCAACTGATGCGTCCGCGGCAGCTTGAGCAGCTGCTGCTTTTTCGGCTGCTTCTAATGTCTCTTGACTATGTGGAGTGTTTATTTTTCTGCCTCTTTCCTTGGTGGCAGTGACCTTTCCTTTCTTACCCCAGATTAAGAATCCCATATTTTTGGAAACATATTCAAATAATTCTTTCAAGAATGCAAACCAACCGTATTCTTCACTTATATTTTTGTCACTAGGATAATTCAAAAGAATCTCTTTACGAGTTTTACAACGGTCTATGAAATCATCTTCTGTTGGAGACAATCCTTTGACTGCTCTTCTTGCCAAAAGTATTTCTTGCATATTTTCAGGTAAAATATCTTCTAAGATTTCTTCACGCGAACGTTCTCCCGCTTCAATTGCAGAAATATATGCTTGGGTCTTCAAATCTAAATATAACATAGAGTGTTGTTTTAACATTTTTCCTACTCGTTCTCCAATTGCATTTCCAACACTTTGTAAACTTCGATTTTCAGTACCCATGTTAGATAAAGCATTCACCGGATCTAAGTTGTTGAAAGGACAAAATACATCCAAAAATGATTCGTTCAAGTAGAAGAACCCGACTTCTATAGTACCTAATGTGGCAGCTAAAAAAGTCGCTAAATTGACCTTTCTTAATGTTGATTCTATACTTTGTTCTCGGTTTCTAAAAATACTTGGTGTGACTTCTCCTTCTTTCCACATCCCTGGGGCTAAATGTTCAACAGTCAAAAATGGATCTTCTTCAGAATACAATCTTTTAGTAAATTCAAAAAGAGATGTTAAATCTCGAAATGTGGCCCCGGCAGGTGTATCTGGATTAGATGCCAAGTCAATAATTTTCTGATATGGTCCAAGAGCAACAATCCTAAGTAATTGAGTAGCCAAATTATCCAACGTAGGTAAAGTATTGATCAAAAGTTGAATTCTGGGTGGGAGATAATCTGGAGCCACGATCTGCAATGGTAAGGCCGCCAAATTGGCATTAGCTAAACCTGCAAGGGGTGGTAATTGAGTTGCAAGTGCATTGTATGCTGCCAAGGCTGAATGAGTGCTTAATAATTCTGAGTTGGCTGGAATTGGTGTGCCTGAGTATATGGCTTCTTTCTCGGATTCCTCTTTGTCTGAATTATTTTCTTTGTTCTCCGGTTCACCGAGTGAAGGGTCGATATTGTTATCTGTTGGTTTCTCCTTGTTGGATTCTGTTGCGGCTTCTAATTCAGTTGCAATCATTTCCAAGTCTTCTTTTTCGTTTACAGTTGGAGTGGCTTCTTTCTCCTGGTCAGCTTCGGCGTTGGTTTCATTGGTATCTGTTTGTTCAGATGGCTTGTCAGACTCCTGTGGGGTAGCATTTGACTCATTCTTTTCAGGCCCTTTATCGTGTCGTATCTCAGGTGTTTGTTCAGAGTCTGTAGCTTCCTTTTCAGTTTCCGGATTCGGTACTTCTTCTGATTCATTCGTTTTTTGTTTCTTGTTTACACCCTCTGCTTCCTCTTCTTCTTCGCTTGGTCTCTTGTTTGAAGTTGTTATCTCTTCTGTTATTGATTCATCTTCAGCAGGGGCAGCCTTTGATGCTTCGATCGAGCTTTCAAACATTTCATCTATTTCATGTAAGTTTAACTCATCACCGGTGTTGTCATGAGTTTCTTCTTCTTGAATATGTTTCTGGACAGAAGTATCAGTTGACTCTGCTTTAATCAGTATGAGTTGATCATCAATCTCTATGTTCTCTTCCTTCTCTGTTTCTCTATCTGAATAAGACATGCTTGCATATATGTACAGTACTACTAAATCCGTTGTTTATTTTTATCTCATCTTAATTTAGTTGTTTATAATTTTTGATTTTTTTCGCTTTGAGTTATTGGTTGGTATATGCAGGAAATTGAAATCTAAGAATCAAAAAGCGCTCGATGGCCCCAGGCTATAGAAGCTACCAAGAAATACCGTTTAGTGGGGCAACTATCTTGGACGCAATCGAACGCGTATATAGCGGATGATTCTTAGAAACAATAGAGAAAATAAAGATGCTAATAATCTCGAGTTGAACAAACCACGGCAAATGGATTTTAAATTTCTAAACGCTCCTTTTGACTCCTTCACAAGAATCAATAGTAGATCACGCGGTTTTAGCGGGAATCGTGTTATTAACCATGGAGCCTCATTTGAAGAGTTTTGTGAGCTTTTGTGTTGCTTATGGGACATGTGCTTGGTATTGGATAATGTAACTGGAAGAAGTTTGATGCGACAAACCATCGAAATCCCAAATAGGAAAGACGCGCGCAAGTCTGCGTAAGATCTCTGGCGGATGTCTTCCTAAATAGGAAATGCGCTGGAGTTTTTCAAGGCAATTTTACATAAATAAATTATATCAAGCCTTAATCAATTTCTTTCACCCTCTTCTCCCCCCCAATCCTTTCAGGATAAATAGATCTGGGAATCCCCAGAATTTCGAATTTGAATTTATTTCATCTTTTTCTCTTTTCTTGTTTTATAAAAATCAACAAATATTTGATCTATAAATCATGTCTCTTTGTGAACAATACTTCCCAGACGAACCAAAAGCTCCAGTAGTCGTTAGCACTGAAAACCCAAAAACTAAAGCTGCTACTGCTTCTTTAGATAAGGTCTTTGATGCTAGAGCTGCTAGTTTTGTTGCCGATTATTCCAAATCAGTTGGTAATTATATTTGTGATGTTGATGGTAACTATTACTTGGATGTCTATTCCCAAATCTCATCTATTCCATTAGGTTACAATAACCCTGAATTAATCAAAGTTGCTAAATCTGAAAAAATGATTAGAGCTATTGTTGATAGACCATCTTTAGGTACTTATCCAGGTAAAGATACCGAAGAAATCGTTTCCGAAATCTTGAAGGTTGCTCCAAAGGGCCAAGATAAACTTTGGTCTGCATTATCTGGTGCTGATGCTAATGAATTGGCATTCAAGGCTGTTTTCTTCTGGTATCAATCCAAGAAAAGAGGATACAAGACTAACTTTTCTGAATCAGAAATTACTTCAGTCATGAAAAACCAAGCTCCTGGTTCCCCAGAATTAGCTATCTTATCTTTTGAACGTGCTTTCCATGGTAGATTATTTGCTACTGGTTCTACTACTTGCTCCAAACCAATTCATAAATTGGATTTACCTTCTTTCAAATGGCCAAAGGCTGAATTCCCATCTTATAAATATCCAAGAGAAAAGTATGTTGAAGAAAATGCCGCCGAAGATAAGAGATGTTTAGCTATTGTTGATACCCTTTTCAAGACTTGGCATTGTCCAATTGCTGGTCTCTTGGTTGAACCAATCCAATCTGAAGGTGGTGACAATCATGCATCTGCTGAATTCTTCCAAGGTTTAAGAGATCTTACTTTGAAACACGGTGCTTTGTTGATTATGGATGAAGTCCAAACTGGTGTTGGTGCTACTGGTGTCATGTGGGCTCATGAACATTTCAACATTTCTCCACCAGCTGATTTAGTTACCTTCTCTAAGAAGTTCCAATCTGCTGGTTATTTCTTCCATGACCCAGAACTTGTTCCAAACTTTGCATACCGTCAATTCAACACTTGGTGTGGTGATCCAGCTAGAATGATCTTAGGTGGTGCTATTGGTGCTGAAATTCTTAAGCATGATTTAGCAACTAAGGCACAAAAGGTTGGTGGTTACTTATTCAGCAAATTAGAAAAATTACAAGAAAAGTATCCTAAGTACATGAAAGATCTTAGAGGAAAAGGTAGAGCTACTTTTATTGCTTGGTCTTTAGAAGACAGCGCTACTAGAAACAAGTTCTTGGTTGACATGAAGAAGGCTGGTGTTAATATTGGTGGATGTGCTGAAGACTCTATCAGATTAAGACCAACTTTGTTATTTGAAGAAAAGCATGCCGATGTTTTACTTGAACGTATTGAACATGTTTTATCAAGTTATTAAATTACTTTTGATTAGTTCGATTTATAGATGTGTGTATTATGATCGTATAGGTAAATGATTTTATTTATTTGATGAAAATGAAATGATTGGTTTAAATTTTTTGTAAAATTATTGGTTAGATTTTTCGCAGCCAAAATTATCGTATAAATCGTATGGTTGCATATTGTGGAAATGCAATATATTTGAACATGACTAGAGTTTCCCCTCATAGAATACAACATTCTTCACCATACGCTCTCTTGGATCATATGAAATGCTTTCCATGTAATTTCTTTGAGACTGGAAAAGGCTAGTGTTGTGTAGTGTTTTTACTTTTGTGTAGCGAATTCGACGAAAATTTCGCAGTTGTTTAAAAAGAGCGCAATCTCTAAACCTATTATATCGAGCAAAGCAAACAAACTCATAAGAGATCCATTTAATTTGTTTGAATATTAGGCAGTTCAACATACGTCCTTCTCTCCACCCCTTTCTCTTTATCCATTTTTGGTATGTAAACTGGGGTTAGATGAGGGGCTGGAGGGAGTCATGACTGCTTAAACCCGGAATTTGGCGATAAAAAATTTCTCGGTGCCGATTTGGCGCATGTAAAAAAAAATTTTTAAAACTTTAAATTGGCCTCATTATCGTTTACACGAACAGTGATTCTTTTTATAATAATTTCTTAGAGGGAGATAATACCCAAAGATAAACACTGACATAGTCATTTCACTGACGAAATCTTAAGTTGAAACAACTAGTCGGTAGAGCCACAACATGGAAGAGTTCAAGATACCCATGATAAGTACCAATTTCTTGGATGATCTCAAAGCGATTGTGAAAAATGAATCTAATGCCTCATTATTGGCTGGAGGTATAGCTGGTGCTGTTTCAAGAACAGTAGTATCACCATTTGAGAGAGCAAAGATTTTACTTCAGTTACAAGGACCAGGAGCACAACATGCATATAATGGGATGTTCCCAACTATTCTAAAAATGTATCGAGATGAAGGTTGGAGAGGATGGTTTAGAGGAAACCTGTTGAATTGTATTAGAATATTTCCATATAGTGCTATCCAGTTTGCTGTGTTTGAGAAGTGTAAAGAAAAATTGATTGAACTCAATCCAAGAGACTCTAAACAGTTGAATGGATATGAAAGATTATTTGCCGGTTCAATGGGAGGAATTGCTTCAGTGGCAGCCACATATCCTCTTGATTTAGTGCGAGCAAGAATAACTGTCCAAACTGCTTCTTTGAGCAAATTAAATCGAGGAAAATTGGTTGAAGCCCCAACTGTTGTTCAAACTTTAAGAGATGTCTATAGAAATGAAGGAGGAATCCTTGCACTTTTTAGAGGGATCGTACCAACTACAATGGGTGTTGCACCTTACGTAGCTATAAATTTTGCATTATATGAGAAATTAAGAGAATATATGGATACTTCTCCCAAAAATTTCTCAAATCCTGTTTGGAAACTTTCAGCAGGAGCATTTAGTAGTTTTGTTGGAGGGGTATTAATTTATCCATTGGATGTTTTGAGAAAGAGATATCAAGTTGCAAGTATGGCCGGAGGTGAATTAGGATTCCAATATAGATCAGTCATGCATGCATTAGTTTCAATCTTTAGAACTGAAGGGTTCTTTGGTGCATATAAAGGATTGACTGCTAATTTATATAAGATCGTTCCTTCCATGGCTGTAAGCTGGCTCTGCTATGATACCTTAAAGGACATGATTAAGAAGTGGTGATTGCATACATAGACGAGATAATTAGATAGCCATTTTTAGCGCATAGACATTAACAATATATTTTATTTATTCATATTTATACCATTTTACTTCTAAGAAACAGTTCCTTATTGATTCATACGTTGACACCCCAGTGGGATCTACTCTAGTTCTGTTGATTTCCCCCCCGCCAAAAATGGGGAGGAGGGGGGTCCATCCCCGTCCATATACATTAAAGTCCAACAAGCTGCCAATAGCAACATCCTGCATATAAATTCAACCAACCAAATTTGTGATAAGTAAAAGCTTAAAAGATTTGTTTAGGGTCGTGTAAATTAGATCAAAAACATAAGCTGTTTCTCATTCGATTTTTTAATTTCAATTTCTAATTCCAAAACGACTTTAAAGTTGTTACAATATTTTTACTTACAAAGGTCACAATTTTACTCAATTGCACTTTTAAATTAATCAAACAATGAGAGGTTCTAGAATTTTAATGCAAGCTGCTAAGAAACAAGGTGGTTTCTTATCTGGAGTCCCACTTGAAATGGCTCCATTATTCGCTGCTGTTTCAGTTGCTCTTGGTTCTGCTTGTTTCTTCACTTATAGACATCTCACTCGTGATAAAGAATTAAGATTATGGAAGAATCCAAACTTGTCTAATTTGGACAACGTCTTAGATGAAGATCTTAGGAAGAATTAAAATTGTTTTATTAGCGCCCACCCACACACACAGAGTTGAAAACAATTGCTGCTTGCGCAGCAATTGCATTTGCCGTTTTTTATTTCATCATCGCCCCAATTATTGAAACCTTTCCTGCATTCACTATTACTTTAATCCTGAAAAGCATTGTTAGATGAGATTTATGATTTTTTGATTTCTTGTTTGAAATGTGACGATTGCCAAATAGTTGACAATGTATTTAGGCTTTTTTTTACTACTGTTTATTATTTTAAAAATATACAATTCCTTATGAACCGCTTCTAATGCAATCAAAAAAGAATATACTTAATATGCTATGTACACGAAGAGTATCTAGATATTTCTAGTTAGACTCAAATGCTGTCTTGTAAACGTCCAATATGTTCATCCTCAATATTGGTATAATAGTCAACAACCTCTTGGATATCATCCAATTCCTGCAACGTTTTATCAAATGCCTTGATGTGATCATCAGGGAATGGAACTATACTATCGACATTGGCGAAATATCTTGTAGATGAATCCTGTAATTTATAACCCTTATTCTTCAACTCAGTTACAATATTTGGAATATCCTTCGTATCACAAACAATTCTATATAATGGTGTCTTATCAGTCTCTACTTCTTCAAAATCCTCAGCACCAATTTCTAAAGCAGTTTCAAATACAGTATCAAAATCTTCAGCTGGCTTAGTTTCTTTTGGATAAAACACAATTTCTCCTTTTCTTTCAAACATATATAAACAAGGACTCAATGATGCAGAAAGATACAGAAGGGCATTTTTAACCTTCAGAATTGTTCTTGTTTTATTATCAGTACTAGCTGTAACAATCATCGCTATCCCACCAAGACCCATGAATTCATATTGAACTTCAGACAAAGCTGGTCCATCAGCTGCCATTTCCCCTGCTCCACGTTTAATAGCATTAGTGATTACCGCTTTGGTGACATTGAGTTTTCTTGCTCTTTCCAACAATGAGTCCAATTGAGGATTTGACTCCTTTCCGTATTGTTTGACACAAGATTCAATTCTTCTGGTAACATAAAGGGCTTCTTTGGATTTTTTGGCATCGTTTTTGGCTTTGTCATGTTTGATATTGGCCCATTTGGAATGACCGGCAAATCTTACTGAAGTTTGAAGCACATTTCCTCGAACCGGAATAACTGAACCTTGTCTTGAAATTAAGCTACGAAACATTATCTAGTTGGCTGATGTAGTATTAATTGCAATATACAGGTAGTGTAAAGAGTATTGAAAAATTTTGATCTACTGTAATCAGACAGACAGACAAAAAAGATTGAGAAGTTCCGGTACAATTCCGGAAATTGATTGAAGTCGAGATTTTCACGTGTTCCAAAATTGAATTCCGAACCTAGGAGGATTTAACAGAAGAAATTGATTGTGAGAAATTTCACCAAACTAACAGATTAATATGTGGCTGGCCAGTTCTTTCATTCAAATATTTCATACACATAATCGGCATAATGAGTAGTGCAACTGAATCAATGGCTAAACGAAAGTTGATAGCCACAATCGCCGACGAAGATACAGTAACTGGATTACTTCTAGCTGGTGTTGGACAAATTTCCAATGAAATTGGTAAAGAAACCAATTTCCTTACTGTTGTACCTGGGAAAACCACTATAGATCAAATTGAAGAAGCATTTGATACTTTCACATCTAAGAGAGATGATATCGCCATTTTATTGATTAATCAACATTTAGCTGATTTGATAAGATATAGAGTTGATAGTTATACTGCTGCATTTCCTGCTATTTTAGAAATTCCATCCAAAGATCATCCTTATGACCCTGAAAAGGACTCAATTCTTAAGAAAGTTAGAAGATTATTCGGAGAATAGAAAGAATATTGCTTTAGTCTCAAGCTTCGAGCAACTTTTGCGGCTTTACTGGGGTGGTGTGCGTTTACGTGGTTAAATAGGATTCCTTTCAATGCATAGACTTAGGTTCTCAGAAAAATTACAAATTTTATTTCTATACGACTCTATGTAAGTCTACCAATTAATTACTTCTTCTTATTGCTCTTCTTTTTCTTATTCTTCTTCTTCTTAGATGGGCTAGCACCTGGTTCTACCACCGCTTCCTGTTCTTCTTCTCTAGCTTCAGCTTCATTCTCATTCTCATCGTCATCTTCTTCCCCTTCAATTTCCTCGACGTTTACCTCAGGCGCCTCGCCCTCAGTTGCTTCCGTAGCAACTTCATCATCCTTGACCAGTGGTTCTTCAATAACGGCAGGTTCTGTGGTAGCCTCATCCACAACTTCAGATGTAACAGGTTCGGCTTCTACTCCATCCTGAACCACTTCTTGCACTTCTTCTTGTGGTATAGTCTCTGCCTTACCGAAAACAGTCTCTTCAACAGGCACATCTTCTGATTTTTCTAATGGAGCTTCTTCAACGACAGGCTCTTCCGCATTGAGATCAACTGTTTCAAAAGCATCATCGATGGCATCTTGTGTTTCTTGAGGGTTCTCTACAGGGATAGGTTCTTGAACAGATTCAACCTTTTCAGAAATTTGCTCAGCCTCAACCGGAATTTCCAACACTTCTGGTTCTACGGCTACTATACCTTCATCATTTACTTCTGTTGAATCTTCTGGTAAATTTACTTGCTCTTCTTGAAAATCATCTTCTTGTTCGATTTCTTTTGGAGTTGGTGGTAATTCGACTGTAGCGGGTTCCACGTGGACTTGCTCTTCTTGTACATTGTCCAATTCTTCAATTTCTTTTGGAGTTGGTGGCAATTCGGCATCGACTCTAGTTGTTTCCTCTTGGGCCAGCACTTCTTGTTCTGGCTGTTGTGTTTCTGGTTGAGATACTACAGGTGCAGCACTACTGGACTTTTGCCAATAGTTCTTGGCAAAAATATCTGGCAAAACACAATCCTTAACATAAAAATCTCTAACCCCAACAATTCGCCTTTCTCTTTCACAAGCTTTCAACCATTCTGGTCTTATTATAGGAATATTCATATCACTAGCTTTAACAAATTCCGGATTTTGTTTATTTTCTCTAGTACATAAGAAATGAGTTGTATCTACTCTAACTTCAGTTTGAGCAGGATAATTAGCACCCATATTTTTCAAAGTTTCTTCGATATCCACACTTGTGAATTGATCATTTGGAGTGAAATCACCCAAACAAACAGTAATCCCGGATAAATCCGTCATTTTGAGGGTTTTAACGACAATTTCATTAGAAAGATAAGTACCTGCAGTTGTATCAAGACGTAATTGGAATCTAAAAGATTGATCTATTGGTAATCCAGATAATTTAGATGTCTTATTAGTTAACGGTTGTGGAATGGATCCTAATTTCTTCCCATCTTTAAATAAAATCAAATTCTTTAATGATGAAGTACCTAAATCCAACTGATCCCATTCTAAAACACAAGAAGTTTGAGTCACATTACGAATCTTAAGAAATGGAGGTTTTGGTAAATTGGTAGCAAAAGTGTTTAATATTTCATCTTGGATTCGTTGGAATTGTTCTGCTTCTTTATATTCACTTTCTAAATCTTGTTCACATTTGATCTTAACAATTGAACCAGCTCTAACACCATTAGGTAATAGAATTGTAGGGAATTCAATCAAATGATGATCTTTGGTTAACAATAACGCTAATGAAGCATCAAGCTTCCCTACGGTTAACGAAACTTCTACCATCTTTCTATTTGGCTACTTCTAGTACTATTTTTTGTGATCAATTGATTTAAGCAATTAGAAAGAAAGAAAGGTGGTCGTGTTCAATTCTTGTATGGGCTTTTGTTTTTTCCAGTGGTAACAGAATTGAAAATTTGATAGCAAATTTGGAGAGGGTCGTGTAGTTGACCAAGTATGATTTTTATATGATAATTACAATCTATTAAGATGGTTACAGAAATATACACATAAATATTTATAAATAAGATAATACAATAAACGTAAGAACGAAATGAAGAATGACTGATAATGTTTTCTATATTTGAATCCCCATAGCTTTTAAATCATCTTTTATTTCATCATCAGTAGCTTTCTTCAACAAAAGTTCATCCGGAAGAAATGATGAATCTTCAGACAATGTAGCATTAATTGCGGCTGGAAATCCATGAAACTGTACCAATCCATTCAAAATACCTATTTGATGATTCACATTATTACGTTGTTGAACTAATTCGATTAAAGTGTTTTGTTTGATGGCTTTTTTGGATAATTGAGTGTTTTCATATACTCCATCCAGATATTGATAAGAGGTAGTAGCAGAAGATTCATCCAGTGATCCTGCTGCCACATTTGGAATTGTGGGTATGGCGGTAAAATTGAAATCAGATACTAATTGATCTAATTGATTTCTTTCTTTATTTATTTTATACCATAATGAAGTTGTTTCTGTGATCATAGAATTCTTTAATTCCATTACATTCTTTAAGAAATCTTGATGGATTGATGTACGGGCTGCCATTGTTTCTTTGTCAATACATTTCAATTTGTATGCAAGATTTGAATTTGCCAATTTCAAACTGTCTTGATAGAATCCATTTATTTTGTAATATATTTTAGATAATTCAGGATGTGATCCTTCTAGACATAATTGTAATTCACGTTCTAATATTGACAATTTATCTTGATATAATTTATCTCGCAATTCTGCAAATTTTGATTCAATAGAGATTAATTCTTGAATTGCCAATTTTCTTTGTTCATTAAGATCAACAGTGTCTACTTCTTCCTCTTCAACTTCAACTTTTTCTTCATTTTGTGGTGAATGGTCCTCATTTTCTCCGTCTATACTGGATTCATCTGGTTTTGTTCCTTCATCTTCTTCCTCCTCCGCATTGTCTTCATCTTCTGCTTCAGCCTCGTTGTCATCTTCAATATTATCGATATTTATCTGGTCTTTCGTAGTAACGGTCTCTTGAATTTGCTCTTGGGAGGTGTTCTCATTATCTTCTTCTTTAGAAGTCATCGTTTCCTTTTCTTCTGTCTTAACTTCTCCATCGGGAGAATTACTGTCTTTAGTAGGGTTAGCCTCAGTACTCTTTTCAACTGGATCTGACTCGTTATTAGAAAGTTCTTCGGGATTACTCTTTCTTCTTTTTATCTCATTCCCTAAACTCTCATCTTCATCCTCTTCTGCTGGCCGTTTACCCACTTCAATCTCCAGCTTGTTATCTTCATCTTTTGTTTCAACAGGATCTTCTTCATCTTTGACTTCAATATTATCATCTAGGCGATCATCTTCATCAAAATCAGAATCCACATCTCTTAATCTTGCCAATTCAGTTAATTTCGATAATGTTTTTAAATCAGATACTTTTTGATTCACAGAATCATCACTATCATTATCATCCAAAAAATCCATTTTATCAGTTTCAGCTTCAGAATCATCATCACCTAAATCACTTAATTCGGAACTTTCATAACTGTCCCCCTTTCTTCCATTCGTCTTTAATTCATCATCATTTATGGGGGAGATATTATGTGTACTTGAACCTGATTCATCATCCAAATCATCAATTTTCGACGGATGAATATCTTCGTCACTATGAAGATCAGTTTCTCGGAGGGATAATTCAAAGGGTGGAGGAGAGGTGGCTATATCTGTTAATGGTGATTCTCGACCGGTGATTTCTCCTGGATGATTGAAATCGTCGTCATCGACGTCGTCGTTGTTGTCGTCGTCAATGTCTCCATTTCGGGTTGATTCTTCATTTGGTGATTCTGGGATTGATTCTTCTATTAATTCGGTTTTAATTTCTCTTTCAACAACTGACATTTTTGGGTTGGTACTTGTATGATTGTAATTGTAAATGTATAGCTCTGTTTAGGAGATGTGTTGTAGAATATATGAGATTGTATTTGATGCTGAGTGTTGTTGGGGTGTTGTATTGTGGTTGAGTAGTAAAATGAAAACTATCTGTTGTTGTTTGTTGTATTTAGAAAAAAAAACAGAAAGGTCTATTAGTTAGCTGGTAGTAGTGTGTTGGCTAGCGTAATACTAGGGGAATGGTAGAGTATGTAGATTGTAGAGGAATTAGAAAGTTGAAAAGTTGAAAAAGGTTAAAAGTTTTGAAACAGAAACAGAAAAAGTATGGGAAATGGGAAAATAGTTAATACCATATTATTTTGTTTGCTTAGAAGATCCAAACTGCAACTTTATTAAAAGAAGCCAGAAACGAATTATATGCAGGTAATCACGTGCACATATATTATTTTTTATTTTTCTCTTTTCGGCTCATCTCTCAATTTATTCTCCTACTTTAAAAACATCTCTTAATTTTTTTCAACTTAGTTTTCTATAGGGGAATTTCCATTTTCTTTGATTTTATACGATTAATTAATTATATATATATATATAAATGTATAAAGCAGTCATGTCTAGTTTTGCATCTTTATTTGGATCTACTGAAAAGGATACAACTGTTGATAGTTTATTCAAAAACGCAGCAGATGGTCCAGTTTCAAGAGATCAATTACCTAAAGGAAGAACAGTTATAGAAATACCCCAAGTACCAGAAGAAGAATCAAAAGAAGAAAAAGATGAAGAATCCGAAGAAGATGAAAGCTCAGAAAGTAATGACGCACAAGAATCTATTGAAGAAGATAACTCAGAAGAAGAAGAAGAATCAGAGGAAGACATAGAAGAAAAGAAATCAAAGAAGAAAGCTAAGAAGAAGGCAGAGTTAAATGAAGATTTAGAAGCATCTTATTTCGACAAATTGTTAAGATACAAGAAAGATGAAGAAAACCCAGCCGAATCAGAATCAGCAGAACAAGACGACGACGAAGAAAAGAAGGAAATGTTTGTTTTTAGGTGACGACGGTTTTGATAACTAAATTTTCTTAGTCTTAACCTTAAAGCAGAAAGAACAGTTTTTGTAGGTAATGTTCCTGCTGATGTCGTTACTTCCAAACATGCTGCTAAATTATTTAAAAACTTATTCAAAGAATTTGGTAAAGTCGAATCTATCAGATATAGATCGATTTCATTTGATGAAAGTTTACCTAGAAAAATTGCCATTGCAAAGAAGAATTTACATAAATCAAGAGATTCAGTTAATGCTTATGTTGTATTTACAGATAAAGGAGCATCAAGAAGTGCCATTGCCCTTAATGCCACTAAATTCGAAGACCATCATTTACGTGTAGATCATGTTGCTCATCCATCTCCAAAAGATAACAGAAGAACCATTTTTGTTGGGAACTTAGATTTTGAAGAAAAGGAAGATACTTTATGGAATTATTTTAATTCTAAATTAGATAATGATGTTGAATCAGTTAGAATCATTCGTGACTCAAAAACTAATATGGGTAAAGGGTTTGCATTGGTACAATTTAAAGATACTCTTTCCGTTAATAAAGCATTATTCTTAAATGATAAACCAATTGAAACTGGGGATAAATCAAAGAAGGGTAGAAAATTACGTATATCAAGAGCTAAAGCTCATGCTAAACCTTCATTAATGTCTCCAAATCATATAGATAACATTAAGAAAAAACATGCATCTAAGAAACAAGCTTTAAGTGATACTCAAAAGACAAAATTAGGTAGAGCTAAAACCGTATTAGGTAAAGCTGATAGATCTACTGTTGGTAAGGTTAAGAAACTGACTATAATGGAAGGTCAAAGAGCTACTAAAGGTGATCGTGTTGCTGGTATTAAAGGTCTTAAAGGTAAAGTTAAGAAACCAAGAATAAGTCTATCTAGATGATTCAAGTCTTTCCTTTCTCTTAGTTACTTATTTCATATCATCCTATATATATATATTTAATGAAATAGAAGCTTAACCACGACTCTACTTACTAGTGCCAATGCCAATTATTGGTTACTGTAGTGTAAATTTATAATTGACCACGACTTCTAGTTGGTTGCAAAAAAGTATGTCTTGTTCAAGCAGTGGTAAGGAGAGCCGTACGTGCCACTTCTTCGTAGAGCTGAATTCGTATTAGGATCACCCACTCCACTACCAGAGCGGGGGTGGTAAGAATATGTATCAAAGAGAATAATAAAACTATAACATTGTAAAGGATTGTATGGGGCATTTTTGATGACATCAGACGATTGTAGATTTTTGTGCCTCACAACTACAAGGGTAAGATAACACAATGGCACCAAAAAATAGAAAGATAACCAGGCGGCAAAAAGTTACTCCACACTTTAACTAATCCCCCTTTTCTTTCCATATTTAGATAAATAGACGCCTATAACCGTATAAATTGAGAAAAGTAAGTCCTGAAACATAAAAGAAAGAACCAAAACGAAATGACTCAAATTGAAAACGTTGAAGAATCACAAGATCTTGAAGAATCATTTGTAAGTCTTGAAATAGAACCAGAATCTGAAACCACTGAAATGACAACTACAAAAATCTTCACCCAAAGAAAGACAGAGAATCCACTTTCTTATGATTTGTTAAATGAATGGAAGATTAAATTTAAGAAAGAACCAAAAAATATTTTGGCTCAAAATGCATTTGCTAAACATCCAATATTAGACATCATTGGGAAATCAGATATTGATACTTATGTTAAAGATCAATTCTTATTTAATATTACTGTAGATACCATTGGATCCCCTGCTTTTTTAAATAATCAAAAGCTGTCTGGTAGATGTTGGATATTTGCTTCTTCTAATATTTTTAGAACTCATGTTATTAAGAATTATAATTTAAAGGATGATGAATTTCAAGTGTCTCAATCATATTTATATTTTTATGATAAATTAGAGAAAGCAAATTACTTTTTAGAAAACATTTGTGAAACTGTAGATGAACCATTAGATTCCAGATTAATTTCATATTTGAATACTGCTCCTGTTAATGATGGTGGTCAATGGGATATGATTGTTAATTTGGTTAATAAATATGGTATTGTTCCTAATGAAGTATTCCCCGATAATGCCCAATCTACTGCTTCTGCTAAATTAAACTATATCGTTACCGAAAAGCTTAGAGAATTTGGATTAGAACTTAGGAACTTAATCAAGAGTGATGCAACCGCGTCAACAATTGATCAATTCAAACTTGATGCCATGCAAACTATTCATAAAATAATTACATTGGCTTTAGGTACTCCACCTAATCCAGATGATAAATTCGTTTGGGAATTCATTGATAAAGATGGGAAATATAAACATTTCGAAACTACTCCATTAGATTTCTTTAAAAATCATGTCAAATATGATGCAGAAGCTCATTTTTCATTAATTCATGATCCAAGAAATGATTATGATACATTATACACAGTCGATCGCTTAAATAATGTCTTCAATGGGAAACCAATCGAATATGTTAATACTCAACTTGATGAAATTAAAGAATGTGCAATTAAGATGTTGAAAGATAATGAACCAATTTTCTTTGGTTGTGATGTTGGGAAGTTCTCCGATAAAACATCAGGAGTATTAGATACGACAGCCTATGATTATGAAACTGCATTTGATTTCAAACTTGAGAACACCAAACTGCAAAGATTAAGAACTGGTTCATCTCAAATGACCCATGCTATGGTGATTACCGGGGTTCATATTGATCCTATTTCGAATTTACCTGTTAGATGGAAGATTGAGAATTCTTGGGGAGATGCCACGGGTAAGAAAGGTTGGTTTATGATGACCGATGAATGGTTTGATGAATATGTTTTCCAAATTGTTACCACTAAGAAATATGCTAGTAAGAAGGCATACGATGTTTGGAAATCCAAAGAATTTAATGTACTTCCCTATTATGATCCAATGGGTGCTTTAGCTTAGATATTTAGTTTAGACTTCATTGATTTTCTCACATTTTCAATACACTCTATTTTTATTACTCTTGTATAACCAGTACTATAGTTGTATCTCTAGCCCAGTTATGAGTTTATCAAATCATGGTAGCGCCATATTTTTCAGCGGGTCCAAATTGAACGTGTTTTTTTTTACAACACAGCAAAGAGCCCTATACCAGCCACTAGAGTGAACAGCACAGGGCAATGACGCACAATGGATACCTCCTCAAACAAGAGGCATCGATTATAAATGAAGTTGCATTGGAGAAGGAAGTGGACGAGATACAAGAATTGTACAAACGGTCTTCCAATCCCAAAGATTTATATGAATTAATCGACAAGATTGACAATGTGGTATCTCACATCGATAATGACCTTGATAATTATACAACCATTAAACAAAAGAAGCTTCAACAAGATATAACGAATATAGAATTGATTAGAGCAACCAGGCTATCCAGTACAATTACTCATTCGAATGAACTTTCCCAATTATTCCAGGTAGCTAATGATTTAGGTCATTCTTTGACTTATAAGATTAAGTCATTAGATGAAGAAATTGGGAATGTTGATAAGACTTTAGATTTTGTTAAGAATATTCAATTACTTAAGAATAATATAAATCAGGCTCATTATGCTATAGAACATAATAATTGGGAGTTAGCTGCTCAATGTATTCATAAAATCACATCTAATTTACCCAGGGAATTAATTGATGGGAAGTTTGCCTCGGTGGTTATACCTTCCACTGACATACCTGAACTTCCTCACGTAGCTATTGAAAAATGGATTAAGAAATTAACAAACGTATTCAAAGATAAGTTTAATGAAGCTGCGCAAGCAAGAAATGTAGAGCACTTGACGAAATATTTCCAATTGTTTCCAATGATAGGTCAAGAAGAAATCGGTTTGAATTGTTATTCGAAATTCATTTGTGAGATTATAAACGAAACCCTGAAGAGTTTAATTTCAAGAACGAACGATGTTAACCCTGATGATTTGATTCCTGGGGTGTTTGCTACTATCACCATGCAGTTGTTCGAAAGCATATCAATGATGTTATCCCAACATGGTCCTTTGATTAAACGATACTATAGTTCAACATATCCAGGAGCCCTTTCTTATGTTATTACCAAAATACAGCGAGAAATAGATATGCAGATTGGGATCATTTCTGATACTTTCTATGATATGAGAAGACTTGATAAATACTTTCAAGATATTAGTTTGTACAATTTCCCCATCTTGGCAGCAAGACAAAATCAATTAAGAGAACAATCCAATGAATCACGAAAACTGGGAGAATATTTCGATACAAGTATGGAGATAAATGATAATGATTTAGTTCCAATTAGACATATTGGTGATATGCTACTGGAATTAGCCAGTATTTTCCATCATTGGTCAATGTATTGTAAATTTATTACCATCAAATATTTCAATACTCAACAAGAAGGGTCTGAATTGTTATCTCTACCGGATTTAATATCAAAATCTAACTTTACAAAGAAAATAAATGAAAAGTTACTTCCATCCCTTGAAACACTTCATAAGTTCTACTTCCGTAGATCTTTAGAAAAAGCAATAACAATTGAAGAAATGCCCTCGTTAGATTCATATCTCGTCTACCATCCTTCTCCAGAAAGATTAGTCTTTCCTGAACAAGTCCCTTGTTCATCCGTAATTGAAGATTTAACATTAATCCTAAACACAACCCTTAGAAATATCATCGATTCAGGAATACCTTCATCTGTCAAAACATTCATCAATGAAAGCTTTTTAGTTATTCAATCAGATTTAATCAACGGATTCTTTATTAAGAACTTAAACGACAATCAACCACGTTATAACCAAACATTATCATTACTTGCTGCTGGTGAAGGTTCACATGCCGCTTCTGGAGGTCCTCCTTCTCCTGGTGTATCTCGTAGCCTGACACCAGATCCAGGTGCTGTCGGTATGGGATTCCTCAAGGGTGCGGCAACTAGTGCATTGGGAAGTGTGGTGAGTGGATCTGGTGCGATTGTGGGAAGTCTTCAAACAGCACCTAATAATCCCAAATTACTTAATTTTATAATCTATTTGAATACAGTTGCGATGGCTCAAGAATATTTTGGGAAAGTATTTGATAAGATCTTAAAATCAGATCAATATTATTTGAAGAATAGTTTCCCATTTGGGAAAGATAAAGATAAGATTGAAACTATTTTAAAGAATGATTTCTTGGATCCATTTATGAGTATTACAAATAAAATCATTGCCGAAAGTTTGGTTAATCTTTATAATCAATCCATTAAGAGTAAATTAATTGCTCTTGTGAATGAATTCTTACCTGAATCCAATGAAAATTATATTATATATTCCTCGGCTTCTTTGAATGATCCAAGCACATTACTTAAATTTACTGCCAATTGGCAAGCTTTGATTAAACCATATGTTCAAACTTGTCATAAGTCATTAATTTTTGATAAATTGTTGAGACTTATAGTTATTAATTTATCCAATTTAATAGAGAAGAAATTAATGGTTTCATTAAAGAAATTCAAGATTAATGAATTGGGTTCGATTAAATTAGAGAAAGATTTATCATATTTGATTAATCAAGTATGTGCTGATAATTATCCATTAAGAGAAAAGTTTGTTAGAATAACTCAGATTGTTTTACTTGTGGGGATGGATGATGAAGAATATGATGAAAGCTATCAGCATGTGGCCATCTCCAAAAAGATAAATGGTGGTGATGAAGAAGATGAAATGGATTTGGAAGAGAATTTGGGGATAAATTGGGTTCTTACACCTCAAGAAAGGAATCAAATTCGAAAATATAGAGTTTAGTGAGTTTCTTCAGCTGATGATGAGAAAAGGATATTGTGACGACTACGTAGTATATTATTATTATATTTCCTATCATTACAGGTATAGGGTAATACACGACATGCATTAACGTGTGTTAAAACGAGTTTCAGTATACGCATAATCCGCTTCCGACTAGGCAGTTAGATATCCTATTTGCCTTGATGTTATAAATAACAACATTTATATTGGTCTATAATATTATTAACTTATGAACCTATACAATTATTCTATTTATTCCATAAGAGGTAGCTCCTCAAGTTCAGGTGTATAATTATCATCTAGGACTTCTATCTGTTTAGATTGTATTGTGCCATCCGCTTCTTTTGATTCTTCCTCCTTATCATTTTGACCTTCTGCCTCCTCGGAAGTATCCTTAATATCTTTATTATCTATCAATTTAACAGTATTTGGTTTAACCCGTAGCCTTCCCACAATTCCTTCAAATTTCGGATGACTATATTCACATTCAGGTCCCTTTGGACAAAACCCCGCCAAAAACAAAGGACATAACACTCTTCTTACATGTCTATTTTTACAATTTGGACCATCGGGACAAAATCCTTTATTATAATTCTGACATTCCGGTATCTTCAGCTGAGGATCAACATGTAAATAAAGACATTCTGGAGTCTGAGTACAAAATCCATTCTTTGAATAAAATAAACATTCTGGCATTTTACGTAAATTATATTCATGTAAGAATTCACAATGATCATTCTTTTTACATAATCCTCTTAACCAATGCTTACATACGATTTTATTTGAATACATTGATGATACGTGTTTGTTGGGACAATCATTACCGTTGGGACATGATCCAATTGGTTTCTGAGGATTATAAAATTGACATACTGCTGCTAGTCCTAGATTAGGTTTCAATATAAGTCAAGCATCCTTACCAAGTTTAAAGAAGTGTCTATTCTTTGTATCTGGATGTATAATTGGATGCAGTTGAATCATGGTTGATGAAAGATGTAAGATTGAAGTGATTATTAATTAAATTCCATTTTGGAAATGACTGGCTTTTGATATTTCAATCCCGAAGGAATAATGTCTCCAACGCATAATGTCGTCCAAATATTACAACCATCACGACATTCACTATATGCATGAACCATCACGTGCCCTTTGATTTTGTGAATTTCCGATGTGCTCCACAATAAAAGCGGGTTCCTTAAAAGTTCAAGTAGTCTGGTATGGCTTACTTTACTAAAGACTTTTATGCTCGGATATATAAACCTAAATCTTAAATCAGATCATACAGGTTTGTTACATAAAAATATATAATCCCCTCTCTTTGCAACACCTAGCTTCTTGCTTCTTTTAAACGTTTTTAGTTCCCAAAATTCGTGTCTTAAGAATATATCCCAAATACCTATTAACATTAGGTATTTTTATAATCATTCTTATCAATTTTAGTACGATTTCCAACATTTTCAATATTACAACCAGGAAATTATCCTTATTACTTAGAATGACATCATCAACAGCTTCACCGCCAACAATTGTTATAGGTAGTGGACTTGGAGGTCTTACCACTGCCTTAGAATTACTTAGTCACGGTCGCAAAGTAGTCATAATGGAAAAGACAGATAAGCTAGGAGGAAACTCAATCAAAGCATCTTCTGGTATAAATGGCGTTCCTACAAGATATCATCCTAAAGATAGTAAAGATACCGTTGATGTGTTTTATCAAGATACTATTAAATCAGGAAAGGGATTAAGTGATGAGAATTTAGCAAGAAAATTAGTTGATCATTCAGGAGATGCAATTCATTGGTTGGCAGATTCTTTTGATATTGATTTACTGGCATTAGTCCGATTAGGCGGTCATTCATTAGGATCTTGGGTATCTCCATCACCCTTTAATGGTGGACCTAAACGTTAGTAAAGTGCATTAAGTATGAAATTAAATGAAATCCAACAAACTAATCCTGAACAACTTACTATTTTAAAGAATTCAAAACTTGAAAAATTGATTTATGATTCTGCTAATGTTAGAGTTAAAGGTATTGAATATAAATCTAACGAGGATGATAGATTACATGTTTTACAAGGTGAGAATGTCGTTTTGGCAACTGGTGGGTTTTCGGCCGATATCCAATCTCAAGAGAATTCATTATTAAAGAGATTCAGACCTGATCTTTTACAATACCCACTGTCAAATGGAAATCAAACCACTGGTGATGGACAAAAGATTGCTGAGCGTGACGTTGATGCAAACCTTATTCATATGGACCAAATCCAAGTCCATCCTACTGGTTTTGTCAAACTTGATGCTCCAAATGACAGTTGGAAATTTCTCTGTGGGGAAGTCATCAGAGGAATTGGAGGGATTTTGTTATGTCCAACAACTGGTGACCGATTTGTCAATGAATTAGCTACTCGTGATGTAGTCACTGGAGCAATATTGGATAATTGTAAAGTTACCGCTGCTAATCAATTGGGATTTACTCCTGATTCTCCATTATCTATTCTTGTAGTTAGTTTAGATGATGTTCCTAAAGCTAAATCTCATATTGGATTTTATGCTTCACAAAAGTTGCTTCAACAAGGTACTGTTGCAGATTTACGTCAATTGTTGCAAAAGTTAAATCCTACAATTAGGATTGCCGACGAAACAGTCACTGAACATCTTGAGAGATATAATGCGATCATAGAGAAGGAGAATGATTCTGATTTTGGTAGGACTCATTTTGGAAATAAGATCAATGTAGAAGAAGGTTTCTACTATGGTGTTGTGACTCCGGTACTTCATTTCTCTATGGGTGGTATCCAAATTGATACTAATGGAAGAGTAATTAGAAAAGATGGAACGACAATCGAGAACTTATTTGCAGTTGGTGAGCAATCACCTCCAGAGGTACCACCCTTATCTAATCCACCAAGAAGAAATAACCTTAGTGTTGTCTTTGGTAGAGTAGTTAGTAAAGCTATTTCCAAGTTATGAACGAGTATAACTTGCCTCTTTACATTTATACATTTAATATGGTCAGAAATTTAAACGTTAAGTAATATCTCTCTAATAATCTACAATTGGGTTACAAATAATTAAATTCTTTTTCAAATTATGTGTATTCAAAACCTTCTATATTATACTTATGTGTGAAAGTTCTAAACATATACATTTATATCGCTTTGAGTATTGATAATGGTTAAAGCAACATTAAAGAAACACCATCATAAAAAAATATAAATTACACAACCCTGTTTCCTTTCTCTTCTCTTTTAAAAAACAAATTATTTTCATTAACTAAAGCATACTTAGATGTTAGATGGATATAACATGATTCTGACGGAAGCACCGAAAGTCTTAGCTGGTAAGTTCTTCTTGAAGTTAGCTCTAACTAAACCGTTGTTACCGTGGGTTCTTGAAACCTTACCCCAGATAACTCTGATCTTGGAACCTCTGACTTCTTTGGAAGCTCTGTAGACGTAAGCAATTCTCTTACCTAAGTAGAATTTAGCATCCTTGGAGTTAGCGACACCTTCAATTTGAATCAAAGAAACGTTTGGGTTGGTGAGTAAGAATCTTGCAACCATTCTTTACACAAATGGAAATTGCATATGATTTTCTTTATTATGTTAGTAAAAGTGTTCCTTTAAAATCTTGAGAGAAACTTGTGAGAGTCCATGAAACATTTGAATCTGATATTGATGAAGTATGATCTTTCCCGAGGTTTATGAGATGTTTGAAAGTTCAAATAGAATTCGTAGTAGTTGATATCTCTCGTTCTAAAAGTTTGTTGATGTTGAAACAATCAGTGGTTGAAAAATCTGAAAAATATTGATAGTGATATTGATAATCTCCCGAGAGTCGTCTAGAAGACAATACTTTCGGATAGAACATAAATCATTTGGTTGATATCTTAAACATATTGTCTTGCTTGTTTCATATCAATATAAAAATTTTCAAGTAGTTGCAATAATTTGATGGTTGATGGATTTGTTCGTATTGTCATTCATTTTCGTATTTGTTGTGTAGATCTTTTTATTCAAAGTTTCATGGATGTGTTTCTTGTCCCTCTCTCTGTGTGGTCTGCTTGTGGTAAACATACATCTGTGAGATTCAGCCATTTCTAATGAGTTATATATTTAATGGTGTTGTTTCAGGAAAAGGTTTCTTTTAATTAAGAAAATTCAAACTTTTTTTTTCGTTAGTACTGAAGAGTGAAAATTTGGTGGTAGAGCGTAAGAAAGTTTAGTGAGTGAGAATTGTGAGTGTGTGTATGAGGTTTTGTTAGTTAATGAGAATTTGTGAGTTTTTGTGTGACTAAAAAAAGACTGTATGGAAGCATTTTTTGTTTATAGTGCGTATAAATTAATATGGGAGAATGGATGTTACCGATATGGAAGGTACTGCATATTACCCACCCAGGAGCCCTAAATCATGGCACGTGCAAGCCCTAATCATCACGTGAATTTTATGATCCCAAGAAATTTTGCAACTCCAGAAAATTGACTACGGATAACCAGAATAAACCAAGAAATTATACCCAAGCGAATTTCTGAAAGTGGAGCAAGTAAATTCAAGACACGTGTTCAAACTGCACACTTATCTCCTGGGTAAACTGGCTCAAGGAAACCAACATAAAAGGAGTAAAATTCTTGTAATTGTAAATTAGAATATATCCTCTATTAAAAAACAGTAATGCTTGAATAACCTTGAGAGAATAAAATCCATTATATATTTATGTTCTTGCGATATGCATAACGATTGATGGTCCATATTGACCATTACGTGAGATTAATGAATTGCTTAACATTATCGTACCTCCCTTATTCACTTCCAGAAAAGAATTAACTTGTTACTGTGTTAGCTTTTTCGATTTATCCATCTACCACATTTCCGCTTCGCTTACTTTCAAGTGGAGTAGAAGAGGCTCTCGTTGTCTCTGGAAGACAGCATTCAGGATTATCAAAGATAAAAAATTTCCCTTCAGATACTGTAAAAATCTACGTTATTTTTCAATAGCTTTGTCTTCTTGATATTTATCTGTAACCCATTCATGTCCAATATCTAGCAAAGTTCCATGGTCTTCCCGATATGATCTTCCAAATCTTCCTTTCAAGATTATCAAAGATAGTCCAATTAAGAAGGCTATCTAAATAAATCAATTGGAAACTCAATTGTTTGTCCCATATATTTACTGAATTCTGGTCATACAAACGTGGCAAGACTGAATATCTTCACTTTCCAGATGTTGTAATTACCTGTTCCAAGGTAGACCCAAGTAAGGAAGAATTGAAGACTGTAGAAAGCGTTAACAACTATTGGTGTAACCACCTTGCGGGTGAGAGAGTCCTGGAAGAAATAAATTAGGCAAATACTTGCCCTGGCTTTCCAGATTTTCCAGTTTAAAAAGGACAATTTAGCCTGTCAAACTGAAGCAATACCTACTTAAGGCTTATGTTGGTATTAAGGAATAGAATATCATCTGCTTTCCAGATGTTGTAATTGCTTGCTCCAAAGCAGAATTTTGCTTTCGTCCAATAGACTTATTTTTCGATACCTCCCAAAACAAAATTGCAATTTTGCTGCTGTACCATTGTAATCTCGGCAATCATAGTGGTTGCTTGTAATTGTTTTCTTTCAAGAAAGTGCATTTCAAGATTTGAAGGCTTGAACTGTACGGGTCTTGAAATATCACAAGTGCAAGTTTCCAAGAATGTATATCTTTGTGAGAAGATTTCAAACAACTCACCTCCAAAGGGGAAAGCATATTGATATCGAGAAGCATTTCACTAAAAGTGTTTATCACGGCATTAGTGATCTTCAGTGGGGTGTAAGATGTCAATATGCTTTGTTTTTTGAAGTTAAAAAGAGTAATGGCTGCAATTTAAACCAAATTAGAAAAAGCGCAAGACATTTATGGGAGTTAAGAGTTGTCTCTTTTCTGGTCAGATAGGGTTATTTTGGTTCTTTTGATTGTGAAGTATATGAATCACCAAGGATGACTTCAATTGAATTCGTCCAATTAGGAAATGATCTCCACAGCGAGTAGTGGCACAATAACCTAAAAACCAGAGATAGAAGTAATGATAGCAACTCATGTTGTATATAAATAAATATACCACAGAGGTGGGATTATATACAATGAATTGAAGTTGTGATTTGAAGTCTACCGAGGTTTAAATTTTGAAAATTTCGCAGCCATTGTTTTATATGCAGTATTTTTTGTATCATATTCGTCGTTAATCAATTTGTGGCTGAGGGTGGGGTTGACCTTCCGCCATTTGATTCTAATTTATAAATTCCCTCTTAAGAACATTCATTCATTCATTGATTTGTTGTTGTCGAGTTCTTTTCAACTGTCTTATAATTTTTAAAACCAAATAGTATTTCAATTTTCGATTTTCAATATTGGTGAATAATGATTCCAATGAAGTTCTAGTCAATGGTAAATGTTTAATAATGATTCAAATGGAGTTCAGGTCCATGGTAAATGTTTCCATTTAGTAGTACGAAGCATATCATACATGCTTGTTTAGCATCATCACTTTCAAGTTTAAAAATAATTCCAAAATTCATGAATAGCATCCATATACGATCGTGCCCTTGTTGAGTCCAACATCAGGTAAAGGTCCACATAAATTAATACTTAACAAATGTACAGGATGTATAATTTCAGTTTCAGATACTTCACCCGATGTCTTTGTCATGTTTCCAATAGCACAAGCGCTCCATTTTTCTGACCCAATATCTTTTTGCTAATTATTTTCTAAGTATAGGATCCAATTGTGAAAGAAGATTCTCAGTAGTTGTTTTTCCAGGATGTCCAAGTGATTCATGCAGTAAGAAATTAGCTGGAATGGTATGATCCATACACAACTTTACGTATTCAATTGTTTACTTAATTACTCAGGTAGTATGTACAACTCAGTGTCAGATCTTGTAATAGATATTGGTGATGAAGTTGTTATGTTTGGAATTGCTGGGAATACCACAATTGCTAAACTTGGATGATTCCGCTTCACGACATGCAATCCACTTTATGATCATGAGTGAAAATTCCCTGTCCAAACCCATGATAACCTTTCCAAATGCCCTCGCGAAGTGTGAACAAATTAGATTTCTGCGAGCCTTACGAGCATAAAGTACTTTCTGGAGAGTCACTACTCCGTTCAGTGTTTTGAATTTGAGATCTTACCTTCTCCTAAAATGGGAATCCTATCAGTACCCGCAGTTCCACGAAATTGTTTAGTATGAGCTGATACATAATTGTGAAGTAATGAAAAATTATTGCAGATGTGTCTAGCTGCTCCAGTATCCCATGTGAATGTCGTTGATGATGTTTGATTCTGAGTTGCATTAAAAATGAAAACGTCACGTTTCTTCAGTAGTCAATGGTTCATTGGTATCTTCAAAAATGGTATTCAAAGCTCCTCATAACAGACATTTTCGTCGGAGCTGTATAACACGTGGTCGAACAAGTAGCTAGATTTCTTGACCCAGGAGATGGGAGCATGATATAATCATATGGATCCAATGATTCATTTTGTGTTGCATTTGGTTCAGATTGAGTAGTAGCTGCTTCTTCAGTTGTTTCAGTAGTAGGAACATTAGTGACATTGTTTACTTGTGTTGTTCTTGGTGGTTGAGTCCTTCTAGTTGGATTGTTTTGAGGTCTGACATATGGTTGATATCCTGGTCTAGTTTAATTCCTGTTTCCTTGATTCAGTTGAGACATGAATGATGGTAAACCTTGAGCAGAACCACTACTTGTAACAAATCGTTTTACTGGTTTTAGGAACTGAGTTGCAATATTGAATCTCCAAGTTTGATCGTTTGGTCCTGCAGATCTGTTTGATGGTGGTTGATTAATGAACATGGCTGAAACATCAGTTGGGACCATAGTTTTTTGATGATTGAAGTCATAGTCATCACAGAACATCCGGAACATTAGTAACAGTGGAAAGAGTATGATATCTTTGGAAGTATTCACGAACAACCAGTGGATGATTTGACAAGAAGAAATACCCCATAATCCTCTTGCTATCCTTAGTCATTGTTTCAATAGTATTAACAAATTCATTCAAGTAAGCAAAACTCTAGAAGCTTGAGTTGGGTCCTTTGTCAAATGATTTCCACAAATGAATCATGCACTGAATCTGTTCTTCTTCAGTCAGTTTTTCCGTAATAGTTCTTTATTGCTTTGAACAATTGTTTTCCAACATACTCGCCTGCAGAAAATCTGGGTTCTAACGTCTTGACTAACAGAAATTTCAATCATTCTTGTTAAAATTGCTTCAAACATTCCCAATCTTGGATATATTATTAGCTTGACCATTGTTAATCCAAGATTCCAAGCATTATGTGTTTTAGCAGGACAAGAATATTATTAGCTTGACCATCGTTAATCCAAGTAGTGAATTCTTGTCCTGCTAAAACACATAATGCTTGGAATCTTGGATACCATCCAGCATAGTTGAATTTGTTTTTAAGCATCACTGATCCTGGAACTGGCGCCGTCAATCATAACCTGATGAAGATTGTGTTCTTGGTTAGTACGTAAAGGTTAGAGATTGAAATTTGTGCATGATAGTTTTCTTTGTTTGTTTTAGTGTTGTATAATAGTTATTATTATTATTATTGTCTATTTAAACACTGAACTTGTTCCTGTTGTCCTTTCATCTTGTGTTGGTAGTTATTCTAGATGGTGGTCAACAAAGAGTTTTCTTGTACTTGTCATATTTCAAGAAAGTGCATTTCAAGATTTTTATAGCTTGAACTGTGTGAGAGAGGGTCCTGAGATATGACAAGCGCAAGTTACTTAATTAAATACATCTTTGTGGGAAGATTTAAAAGATCCCATATTCATTTTTTTAAAGGACTAAGCATATTGATATACGTAAGTAAACAATTCACTATAGTTTGTCATTTGAGAGTGGCATGATCTGTGGTGAAGATGTATATCGATATGTTTGGTTCTTTGAAGGAATTGAATTAACAATAAATATGATTCATTGTAAACGATTAGTTCGGTCGACATTATGGATGCTAATTTTTACCGTTTGATTGTATTACAAGCAGATCTAGAACTAGTAAGTTCTCTTTTTGTAATCTGCACGTTTCGCTGACTGACTGAGATCATGTGTGTTAAAGAAAGGTTTAGAGCCGAAGAATTATGAGTTGCAGCTGGATAATCAAGCGTGATTAGTTAAATGTGTGACTTAGCGAGCTTGATTCTTAGGCGTCCCAGATATTAATTCACATGCCGTGGGAGATTATTTCTACAGGGGGATAAAGGGTACATTTTTACCGAATCTTATACTCTCTCTCTCGTATATCCTCAGCCCCGACCTCGGGATTGCGCAAACATATGTAAGATCAGAAAAAGGTTAGATCTTTGAGGAATATCCAAATTTACAAACGTGTATTAAGCTGATATAAAATATAAAATACAATCTAACAATTACCCTATTTATATGCAATTCACCATACTAAGGTTATTACATCTAGATAAGTTAGAATTAAAGAAAAAGTAAAAAGGTAAAAAGATCATTAAATCTCCAATGTTTAGCATCCCCAACATCATATTTTGAATTCTTCATCGAACCAGAAGGTGAATTATGAATAGATAAATTAGCCAAATTAGTCAAATTCATAAAATTATCATGAATTGAATTACCATTATCTAAATAATCCACTTTATCAAACCATCTAGTTTCCCAAGCTATCCCAGCTTCTTTTTCAAGTTTTCTTGATTCACGTTGTTTATTTTCAATCAATGATTTTTCTTGATGAATTAAATTATAATCAGCTTTCTTAATTGCTTCTGCCACTTTTTCCCAAGCTCTTCTTGATTCTAATTCATGTTGTTTTTCAATTGGTTTAACCTTTAAATGTTGTGCCGCTATTTTGGCAGCATCATAAAATAATTCATCGTATTTAGTTGGAGTTGTTGAACCTTGAGAAATATATGATTTACCTGACCATTGACCGCTGATTGTTACAAGGGCGTTTTCCTTGTAGGCACTTGCTAATGAATCACGATAAATTCTGGATTTAAAAGTGTTTTTCTTACCTGAAACCCAACCTCTTCCGGAATAATCAACCACGGCCATAAATCCATTAGAACTTTGGATATAGGAAGTTCCTTCTAATTCAACAAATGGAGATGCAGTAATTAATCCTTCAATATGTAATGGAGGTAATGTTACTAGATAAGATTCATCTAAGTCTTGAAATTCTAATATGGCATGACCAAATTGTTTAATATTAATACTTGTTGTTGAAATACTGGAAGTAATTCCATTATATCCTTGTAATGTCACATTATGTTTCATATTCTTAATAGCATAAGCAGTAACTGGAGGATGATGACTAACTTGTTCACTCAATAAGAATGCTTCACCATGCACAGAATCACATTCCCATTTCCCCACAAACACTTCCCCTAAGAATGGATTCAATGGTTTCTTTTCAGAACCCATACTTTCATTTCTGGAACAATATTGTGATTTTAAAGTTGAAATAAACCATCTGGTAACGGCAATCATTCTTTTCAAAGCCATTGCTTCAACTTCTTCTTCATTATCAGGATCAGTTGCTCTTAATAAGTCTGCATCTACGAATAAATCGGGATGTTCGGCCCAATATTGGGAATATTCTACTAATGAGGTTGGGGATAAGATAAATGGTGGGGCAGTTAACGATGATAAATCACCATTGAATGAGGCAATTGATTTTAAAAAGGAAGTCCAAGAACTGGATTGAGCTGCTGATGTTGCCATTGTCGTTTAGTGTATAGTGTATATGTACTATTTTATCTATCTAATTGATAGGGGTGTCTTATTAAAAGAAAGAAAGTGAGGTTTTGAAAAAAAAAAAAATAGTGGTTAATTACTAGCAATTTAAGTTTGTGTGTTAATTGAATTTGTATTGTGTTACTATTGTCGTCGTATAGAAAAATTCCAAATCAAACGAAAACCATCATCAAACCATTAAACCACATGTGTTGATTTTTTTTGTTAGTGTGGCAGTGTGTATAGGGAGTGTGTATAAAGATGAGTAAGTGAGAGATATGCATTAAGGAGATCGTTTATGATTTGCTAAGAAATTTTTCAAATTGAATCATTCGACTCAACCCTTTAACGAATTAATAATTAACCATTTTTCTTAGTCTAATCTAATCTAATCTTAATTATAGATGATAGTCTATATTTATAAGTAAATAATGGATCTAAAGTTTTATATAAATTCTTCTTTTGTTTAATTGAATTGCAATAATTGTAAATATTAATGAATAAATTGTTAAGATACCAATTGATATCCAAGTATTACATTCTAATGTATTAATATTCATATTGATTAATCCAGTTAATAAATTAGCAATTAAAAATAGTAATAATCCATTATTATTAATTGATTCAAGTATATTACTTGTATAGTTACTACCACTAGGTATTATCTTATCAATTAAATGATATGCTAATAAGAATGTAGCATTATATGAAACAACCCATAAAACATATGGACAATTGGCAATTCTTCTTGAAATATTAGTAAATGAATAAGATGAATTAATCAATGTAAATATTAATTGATAAAAGATTGTTGATATAATTAATCCTGTTGTTGTTGATACTGTTAACCAACCACCTTTCTTAACTTTAATCTTATTAATGGTTATTAAATTATTCTTTGTTTTATAATTAGTTAAAGTAAATGATCCAAATGATTGTCCAAATAAAAAGATTGTAAAATATCCAATAAATGAACAAATACCTTCTTTATTCATGGTAATTACATTATTAAATCGATTATCCTCTACTAATACAAATCTTAATAAATTGGTTTTATTTAATAACAATTCATATCCAAGACTTATCACAAATGCAATTAATGCTCTTGGGAATATTTGTAATAAAGGATCTAATAATGCTAACATTATTGGTAATAAACCTAAAGTTATAAAGAAATTCCAATGAATACCATATTCTGTCATATGTTCTTGATAATCTAATTGTTTAACACTAATCAATCTTATTAATCCTAAGATAAGTAAGGGAATTGATTTAAGTATATTCTTACCAATTGTATTAATATATGTATTTATATTAAATTGATAAGTATTATTACCACTGTAACTCTTAATTAATGATCTTGAATTAACTAATCCCATTGAAAATACAAATGATCCAACACCTAAATCCATTAATGATGTACCCCATGTTTCAACTTTTGCAAATCTTCTTGGAAATATTTTAAAATCAACTGCTAATATTGCTAAATTAGTTATAATTAACATATGAGATCTATAAGCAGTAAGAAATGATTTCCTGGGTAACAATTCTTCAACATGTTTTCCTGATTGTTGTTTCTTCTTCTTCTTTGGTTCAGTACTTGTTAAATAAGTACTGTTAATTAAGAATAATAATAATATTGGTAATATAATTACTAAATGTAATAATTTAATATTATTATTATAATAAGTAATTGAAGCTAATATACTAAATACATTTAATATAAAATCATATTGAAATGGTAATTTATCTTTTAATAAGTTGTTAAGTAATTTATATGATAAATATGATGTTAAAGCAATTGATGTTATTAAATAAATTTCATTAATTGATCCACCAATTAAATCAGATACAAATTGTTCCTTCTGTTGCTTTAATGTTGACATATTGGTTACTCTTACTAATCTCTCTCTCTCTCTCTCTCGGGATCAGTTGACAAGTCTATTAATTGGGTAGTAACTTATTGTTTAGTTGTAATTAAAAAATCTATTGGCATGTGACACCTAGTAATTTACACATTAACTGTTTTTTTTTTTGCTTCTCGATTCTTCTACTTACATTTTGCTAATAAAAGATTTTCTCTACCAAGTAAACTGGAAATTTCATTATCTTGAAACACACCTTGTTAACATATCAATTTCCAAATCACCCCTTTTTAACCCTTTCCCATCCCATCCCCACATAGCCTTCATTTACTTGGCAGCAAACTCATTATATATATATAGATCACGCCAGATTATAGAAAAGAAGAATCATTCAATTACCTAGTAAAATAGGAAAATCAAATATGGAATCAACAAAAGCAACTGAAGAGAAGCTATCTTCAGATGATTCAAATTCAATCACTGACAAGACCTTAAGTAACAGTGATATTAATGACAAACTACACGACACGTCAATAACCAAATCAGATTCAGATACAGAATATTCTCATGTTCTGCTGCTGCTGCCACCACCACCACAACTGCCGCCAGATTCATCATCTATTTTACAAGAACCAATATTGTTAGATATAACCCCAGTCACATCTAGAAGTAAAGCTGGAAATGAATCTGATGAATTCTTATTATATTCAGATTCAGATGTCGCTTCTCAAAGTTCTTTGGATGTTAATACTCATACTCCCCGCCAACAAAAAGATTCACTTAGTCCTAGAACTATACTCAGCCGGAGGAATCAATCTATTAGTTCCGAAGAGGATGAACTTCTACTTCTACGATCTAACCGTAAGGAAAGGGGTGGAGCACACTTTGGTTCTCGAAAATCAAGAAAAGGGTCCACCACATCGGGGGAAAGTCCAAGCACACCAAATAGTAATAGTACAAAAAAACCAAGAAGATCATCTCGTGGTAGAAGAGGAAGTGGCGATTCTGATTCAGTAGCAATGGCAAGTGGAACAACAACAAGTCGTTTTGGATTTTTCTCTTATGCTTCCTTTAGTTTTCTGCAGTATCGTGGTTCACTTCGATCTCATCGATCAGAATTTTATGGAACAGGATATACATCAATGCCAGCCAGTGGGAAAATTTTTAGAAATTTATTAATTTTAGAAGAAAGTTTACGAGAACAAGTTATTCAACAACGAGCAATGAGAAGGAAATATTTAACTTTTTTATCGATATTATGTTCAATTATTGCATCGATAGTTCATCATTTATTTATTTTGGATTCGGGGTTATCATCAACTGGAACCCAGCGGGTTATATTACAATTCTTGTTGTTTATTACGATAATTACCCTTTTATTATATCATTTATCAGGTGAATATCAAAAAACAATTGTCGTACCGAGAAAATTCCTTTCTTCGACAAATAAAGGATTACGACAATTGAATGTTAGATTGGTGAAGATAAAAACTCCTTTCATTGATAAAGTAACTGATTTAATTCGTGAAATCCTGTTATATATCGTGAATATCAATCTTGATTTCTTTCATAAATTATCCCCCATGTCAATTCAAAATCGAAATTCTAAAATTGAGGTGTTTTTAGTTGGATGTCAATCACAATGTCAACCCCGGATTGGAGTTACTGATGTTAAATTGGTCTTGAACCCAAGAAACAAATTATGACTATAATCTCTTCCAACCCTTAATATATCTTTACTTAAGACCCAGAAAGAAGGGGTTAGAAGACGTAATAATATGATGAAATTTACCAATCCTGAGACAGTTAAATCAAAAATGATAAAGAGAAGGAAGAGAAGATCATCAACTCCGGTTATTTCAATTAATGGAAGTGTTTCTGGAACATTAAGTGAAGAAAATTTACAGAAATTAAGAAATGGATTTGAATTTAATCAAGAGAAGATCTTAAAGAATTCAGTTATTGCCGAGGAAGAAGGTGAAGAAGAAGAAATACTTTCTGAAGATATTAGTAGTACAGGAACATAATAATAGCCTATTTATAGATAATAATTAATGTCGTTATGATTCAAATGTCGTATTGATAAAATGTCGTTAGATCAAAAGTAATTAAAAGAAAATTTCGTTAACCTCATCTCTCTCTTCTCTATAATAATTTTTTTTATCAGTTAAGCTCTCTCTAACAATCTTTTTGCAATCAACTAAAATCAAGTCATGTCGTCTGAAACTAACAGAGCATCAAAACCTCAACCTTCCAGAAAGGGAAGAAAAGCATGGAGGAAGAATATCGATATCCAAGATGTCGAATCCGGATTACAAACTGCCCGAGAGAAGGAAATCTTATTAGGGACAAATCATACCGAAGATTTTATTATTGATGAAACCCCAACTGAAGCAAGAAAGTCCACAGCTAAGAAATTAAAAACTCATGAGATCTTGACTAATAAATCCAAGATTCCCGCTTTGGTGAACCCGAAAGAAAGATTTTTTCAGGTTTTATTATCTTAAGTTCCTCACTTCTTTTGCCTACATAACTAGTTGGTTAAATTATCAGGAGGGAAATATAAGAATGAATCCCGGACTCTTGCACGTATTGAAAAAGACGGGTTGATTAATGTTTCTAATAAAGATATCTGGGATGAACCAGAAGTACCAGAACAACAACCAGAAGACAAATTACCTGAAGAATTCACATCAACTGCAGAAGTCACCCGTGCGACCGTTGTCCCCAAGACATTAAAAAAGGCGCCCATAAAGATTACTGAGAATGATTTGACTGAGAAGGTGGTACATGCTGGGAAATCATATAATCCATCTTTGGAATCTTGGAAAGATTTGATAAATAAGGAATATGATGTTGAATATAAACGTGAATTAACTAGACAACAAATGGAAGAACATAGAGAGAAGATTAAGGCTTTGACTCAGACACTTGATGATAATATGTTGTCTGATAGTGATGATGAAGAAGAAGAAGAAGAAGTAGCTAAAGTTGAAGAAAATGATGAAGAGGGTGAAGATTTCAAATTGTCGATAAATAAACCGACTGTTGTTAAGATCAAGACGAAGACTAAAAGAAATAGAGAAGCTAAACATAAAAAGAGGGTAGAATTAGAACAGAATTTGAAGGATTTAAAGAAACAATTAAAGGATTTGTCCAACTTGGATGAATTGTTACAAAAGCAACAAAAGGAAGAAGAAGAAGACGCAAAGAAAGAAGAACCAGCTACAAAGAAACAAAAGAAGGATAAGAAATTGTTTAAATATAACCCAGTTCAACGTGCTTTAGAAGTGAAATTATCTCATGAATTAACTAATAATTTGAAAAACTTAAAACCGGAAGGAAATTTATTTTATGATCAAATGTTAAGTTTACAATCAAGTGGGAAGATTGAAGCAAGAGTTCCAGTTGCAAAGAAAAAGAAATACACACCTAAAGTTACTGAAAAATGGACCTATAAAGATTTTAAATAGACTAATTAGCCTTTTGTATACTATCATCATCTTTTTATTACTAAATAATAATAGAATTTTTTTAAAATAAATATGTAAACTATCGATATAAAACAACCAATGCTAAATAAGGGCTTCATGAACTAAAACAAAATGACATTAAAAACAACCTCCAACTCCAACTCTGTCAACTTACGACCAATCCCAATCACCAAACACATAACCTCTATACAATCTTTCTCTCAAAGTAAACATTCTATCACCATAAGTAGAATAATATCTTTGTTTCTTAATATGACTAGTCTTGAAATGTTCAGGAGCAACCGCTTCACTAGTCTGTCCCCTCTCAACCCCCGTTAACAAGAAATCTCTCGCCATCATTTTATCATCCCATTCATCTAAATTATATCTATCATTTTTCCAACCATTGTCCCAATATCTAATAAATTGGACACCATGGCCGGCGACACCGTAGAATACGGTCATGATGGCATATGGTAAGAACCCTTCAAATGGAATAGGCATTGTTTGTTTAGCTGTATAGATTGATGGATATAACTGGTTGTAGTGGTGTTGTGAAAGTCTTTAATAAATCCTTCTCTTTTTTTTCAGTGAGTGAGAGAGTATTACCTAAAAAAATTTTATTGGTATTTGATTGGATGAATATTGATCACGTGATACCAACGAATATTGAAAAATTGGCTGCAAAAAACTTATGCTTGAATATGATTAAATTATACGTCCACAACTATATCTAAGCAAACGAGTTACTGCGATGTAGTATAATGACTCGGTAAAGACCAATTACTTCTGTCTGTAGAAGTTAGGCGATAGAAAACCTGGTATATTTTGCGAAAATTGGGCAATTATTCAACAAAAAATTATCGTCCAAACTCTTCGTTCCAGATATAGAGGATGCAAAATACAAACAGAGCCATAGTAAAAGAATATCAATAACATAAAATGTGGTTAACTGCACCTTTTCAAAACTCTTTGGTATTCTCGGCTATATAATTAAGTGAATGAGAAGAAGTTCAATTAATGACCAGCTCAGGGTTGTCAATTTGGGTGCAATAATTTACTTTTGCAAATCTACACTTAACTACTACTTTCACCACTATATGCAATGATCAGATAATTGATACAAAGAATGCTACGCCTACAGAGATAGATGATTGACGTGGTATATGTAGAACAAAATGCCGGGTAATCGACAGTGTCAAAATGACTGCAAAAACTGACTAAACTTATTAAACTACCATGTAAACAAGGTGTATATTAAACTACATGTATGCTTCCAAACTATGACTAACCAAACAACCAAAAAAACGACAAAATGCAAACACCCATTATCATCATTATTAATATTATTGATTCAATCTCCAAACCACTTTAACAAATTTATCCATTCTAACCATTTCTTTCAGTTGTATAAGACACCATTCATCTTCTCTTAACAAAATTCTAGGTATTGGTCTTCTTTGAGGATCTTTAATTAAACATTTTGCAATAAATTGTTTAAATTCTTGAGTCCAATATATATTATCTTCTGGAAAATCACATAATTCTAATTCACTCTTCAGAATCATATCAACTACTTCAATTGGTCCATATAAGGTTAAATCTATGGGGAATTTCCCATTGGCAACTTCCAACAATGACATTCCAAGGGACCATATATCACTTGATATAGAATATGTTCCACCGGTTATTCTTTCAGGTGCCATATAATATTGGGTTCCAACAAATGTTGATGCTAATGAATTGACTGCTTCTCCACTTACACCAAAATCACAAAGTTTGACATTTCCTTGAGAATCTAATAAAATATTTGATGGTTTTATATCTCGATGAATTATATTTCTTAAATGTAAATAATCCAACCCGGCCAATATTGAATTAGCGATTTTCCCCAAAACTTTTTCATTTATTCGATTACTAGGATCTTTTTTAAGGACTTCTTTATAGATTGAATCAAGTGATTGACCATCCATATATTCCATAGCAATTCCAATCATACTTTGTTTTTCTAATATAAAAGTTCCATAATATTTTACAATACTTGGATGTTGACATTTTCTTGCTACTTCTAATTCACGAAATATTTGTTTTTGAATATCTGGATTTGGATCAGTTATAATTAATTTAAGAGCAAATATTTGATTATTTGGTAATTGATTTAATTTACATTTAGATACTGAACCTCCATTACCTTCACCAAGTTTTCCAATTTCTATAATTTGATTAGCATTGGCAACTAAATGCCAATCATAGGGGGTTAATTGTTCTAAATGATGTTTCACAGTAAGGGTATCTTCTTCTTCATCATAAATATATTGTTGTTGATTTTGTTGTTGTTGCTGTTGTTTGGGATTAGTTTCAAATATTTCTGGGGGTGATGGTGATGTCATTTGAGTATCACTATCAATGTCAGTTGTGGTGTAATTGGTATTCACAGGACGTATAAGAGGAGGAGGTTTGCGTCTTAAATTAGCAGTGGATAAGTCTAATTTATTAGGAATTGGTGAAGATAGGGATGATGATGAAGTTGATGAATATGAATTTTGATGAGTATACAGTTGTTGTGGCTGTTGTAGTTGTTGTAATTGTTGCTGACGTATATTAGTAGTGGATGGTAGATTCTCATTAGATGGAGGTAAAGGTATAGTGAGATTAGGTAGAACTTTATTCCCACCAGTGGCTCGTTTTGTATTAGGGACATTAAATAATGGAACTGACATTGTTTATTATTATTGTTTTAGTAGATTGTAGGGTAAATTAAAAAAGTGTGGTTTAACTCTAAGGGGGATGTGTAAGATTATATAACAAGTGTGAGATGGGAAAGATCTTCTCTTTATATAAATAATTTATATATTTTATCGTGAGTGAGTGAATAGTTGGCTAGGAGAGTAAGCAAAAAAGGGATGTAAATGTAACCAACAAACAAATTTAAATGAATGATGTAAAGCCAAAGAAAAAAAGAAAAATAAAATTAAAATCATAAATTAAATTTTTATACGAATCAAATAAGAAATTTAAAATTTAAAATTTACAATAAAATGTAATTGGAGTTAAAATAATTAGAAGGATGACAGTAGAATAGATAGAATGTACAATTACACTGTATCANTTACAATAAAATGTAATTGGAGTTAAAATAATTAGAAGGATGACAGTAGAATAGATAGAATGTACAATTACACTGTATCAAAATAAGCGAAATTAATTTAAACAAAACAAAGGTATAAAATCAAATCTATGAGGTATTTACAGTTACTTTCAATTCAATTACGTAAATGTAGATGTAACAGTTGTACACCAATGAACATTAAATTTATTATACAATACAACCCTATAGTCCCCCACGACCCCCCACATTTTAATATCTCAGAATGTCTATGTTCAGCCATTATTATTTTATACTATCAAAAACACAACACATGAACGAACGTTTTCTAGAAGATTGTTTCACTCAAGCCACTACCGTATTCTTCCCACTAACGCTTTTGTTTCTTTTTAGCAGCCCCTCCCCCACTAGTAGCTTTCCTCTTAGGTTTAGTTGCAACCTTAATTAATTTATCCTTTTTAGTATCAATTGAATCAGTCTCAACTTCTTCATCAGGAATATCCTCCATATCATCATCCACAACATCTTCATAATCAACCTTAGCTGTAGCACCAGCTTTCCTACCACCATTCAAAACAGAATTACCTGTCTTATAAATAACAGTTGGATGAACTGCCAGATTATATGCACGAGTAAATGCACCTTTCGCTTTACTATCAAGTTTAATCTCTTGTTTTAACATATCTCCAATATTATCAAGATCTTCTTTAGTTAAAAAGTATTCATCCATAACTTCAATTGCCCCTTCAAAATCAGATGATTTTAATGGGGTACTTACTTTCTTATAAAGTACCGGTAAATAATCAAGACGTAATTCTTGTTTTGTAGTTGATGTTTTAATACGAGTATGATATTGTATTTCTTGTAACATTCTTTGAAATTTCATTTGTTTAGAATTTTGTCCTAACCAACCACTAAAATTCAATCTACCAGTCATATTCCCAGCTACTTCATATGAAGGCTTAACCGTTGACATTAATCCATGGAATGGTAATAAACTCCATTGTTGTTCACTTGATCTAATTAAAGAATTGATTGAATCGGAAATACTAATATCATCAGCAGCTTGGGCAACATGTTCAATAGCCTTACCGGGTAATCTTGTATTTGTTTGTAAATAATTTTCTTGAATCATTAATGGAGCAAAATCAATATCATTGAAATATAAATCCAATTTATCATTTAAACTATGATTTGGAGCATTCCAAATCCCCAGGGATAATAATCTAGCAGCAATATCAAATGGTTTTAAAATAACTTGTTTTTTCCATGATTGACTAATTTCTGCCACGGAATTCGCGCCAATATTTTGTTGTGTTTTCGAAACCGTTGATAATAAATTAATCATCTGTCTAATATCTGATGAAGTAGCTTGAACTAAATTTCCAATAATATTAGGATCAAGTTTAATATGTTCTCTAAATGCAATAGCCATCAATCTACTCTTGACTTCGGTTTCACTTGGTCTTCTAAATGGTAAATCCAACGTCACTCTATCAAATGTTCTCATCTTTGGTAATGATTTATCATTACAAATTAATATAATTGGCATATGAGTAATCCGACAAAATTGCGACAATGCACCAGCACCACCATGATCCCCACTTGACATCCCATCAACTTCATCCATAATCAAACAAAACTTCTTACTATTTGCATTTGAATCCACATCATCTCGATGTTTGAAAAACCCAACTACTGAAGTATTAGATAAGATTGATTTAACTTTCTCATTCAATAATTTCTTCGATCTAACATCAGATGCATTTTGTTCCAATACATCAAATCCAAGTTCTTTAGCAACTAAATGCGCAGCAGTAGTTTTCCCAATCCCAGGTGGACCACTTATTAATGCCGCCCGATAAACTTCCCCATTCTTAGATTTAAACCCATTTTTAGCATTATCAAACCAACTTGATAACCATGAACGTAATTTGGCTACTTGTCCTTTATTCCCACATAATTGACTAATGGATGTAGGTGCATGTTTATCGGTCCATAATTTATCTTTGGCAGGTATATCAGCCGAAGAATATCCCACCGATGGTGGTGGTCTTACAGCACCACTACTGGAGGCCAATGGGGTAGCGTTCTTCTTCTGCTCGGCAATTCTTTTCGCTTCAGCAGCTTGTTCCTTTTGTTCTTCTTCTTCAACCTGTTCCAAAATCTTCCGTTCCTCTTCTTCACGTTTTAATCTCGCTTTTTGGGCTAATTCCCCCGATCCACCTTCAACTGGCATCTTGGTCAATAATTCAATATATCCCGCTTCATCAATGGCCTTGATTTTTAATTGTTTGATTTTTTTCACCTTTGAAGGACCAGCATCTTGTCCAATCACGACTAAGCTTGTCTTCCCCAGGATTGATTTTGTAACTTTTGCTCCATATTTCTTAGCGGTCATTTCCGCAGTGTCACGATCTAAAGTAGGCATTTGTCCGGTGAAGACGATAGTCAAGCCACTTAAACAATTTGGTTGTGCATCGGGTAATTCAACCGTGCCTCCCATGGTTTGATTTGCTTGTTTTTGCGCATTCAAGGCAAAGAAATTGACCTTTTTGGAATCATCGACGTCTGGTAATTCAGCGTCTGGAATGGTTGCAAGGATTTCATCTGCCGACATACCGGTAGTTGCAGCCACTGGTGGTGTTGATGCCGGTTTGACTACTTCAGGAACACTCCTTACTACTGTTGCCTTCTTCTGCGCGGCAATTCTCCGTTCTTCCTCTTCTCTCTCTTTTCGTTCTTCCTCTTCAACCAATTCCATAATCTTTCGTTCCTCTTCTTCACGTTTTAATTTCGCCTTTTGGGCCAACTCCCCCGATCCACCCTCAATTGGCATCTTATTCAACAATTCAATAAATCCCGCCTCATCAATAGCTTTAATATTCAATTGTTCAATTTTCTTAACTTTAGAAGGACCAGCATCATGTCCAATCACAACCAAACTAGTCTTCCCCAGGATTGATTTGGTGACTTTGGCTCCATATCGCTTCGCTGTCATTTCTGCAGTATCACGATCCAAATTTGGCATTTGCCCGGTGAAGACAATAGTTAAACCACTTAAACAATTTGGTTGGGCTTCTGGTAATTCAACGGTGGCTCCCATCCCCAGATTGGCTTGTCTTTGAGCGTTTAGGGCGAAGAAGTTGATCTTTTCATTTTCGTCGATTTTTGGTAATATTGCATCAGGAATCGTGGCGAGAATATCATCGGCTGATATTGCTTGAGAAAGAGCACTACTAGAAGCTGGTTTGACCGGACTCTTGGTAGGTGATTTTCTGGCGGTTTGTTTTGTACGGCGTGGCAGTTTCATAGGTGTGACTGGCGATGAAATTTCAATAGGTGAAGAACTACTAGAAGGAGCTGGTTTGGATAATTGAGGCATCTTGACAGGACTCGTGGTAGCTGATTTTCTTGCAGTCTGCATGGTCCGTTTCTTAGGTGTAGCGGGTTTGGTGATTTCAATTATCTCATCATCATCATCACTAAATTCGAAATCATCATCGTCATCTAAATCAATTATTTCTGGTTGTTGTTGTTTTGTTCTCTTAGGTGATTCTACTTTTGCTTTCTTTGATGGTGGTGGATCATCACTTGCTTTTCGTTTCTAGTTGGGTTGATACGTTAGTACAGAACAAACAATCAATTGAGATCTTACTCACAGCTACATACCTGAGTGATCTTCCCCTTAGACTTAAAGAAGTCATCTATATTAACCATTGTGTCTTCTTGGTGCTGGGATCTGCTGCTGTTCGGTTGGTTGTAAAAAAAAAGGGAGTCAGAGAAAATAAAATAGAATTGATACGCGTCTTGCTTCAGAGAGGGATTGAAGAAAAGAATAAAATGCGTGTACTTATCAAATTGAAAAATTATACAATTCAACACTACTTACTACTTGATTCCCGTTCCAAATAATCAGTCCATAAGGATACAAAGCTTTGTTTCAGAGGATTCCCATTATCCGATTGTGGTCCCCCCTTTGAATTTGAAGTATTTTGTAAACCAGCTGCAATTTTTTGCAGTTGATCCCATTCCAATAATGCACTTATTAATTGTAATGCTTCAAATTTTTTAGTATCACCTCTGGGGAATTGTAAGAAACTTATAATTACATTTGAGATTAATTCTCGATCTATTGATTTATTGGTTCCATCTCCACCTTGTTTTAACATCGTTAATGCTTTTGTTAAATGTTCATTTAGGATGATTGCTTCATGTCGTAATTTCCCAATTACTAATTGTTTATTATTGATTTCAACCTTAAGTTCATCGATTTGTTTGATTTCTTGTTGTAATTCGGCTAGTTGTTGATCTTTGGTGGATATTTCTGATGCTAATGTGTTGTTAAGGGTTGATTGGTCTGAAATTTTGGTGTTTAATGTTTCAATTTCTTGTTGTAATGAAGATATCGTATCCTTTGAACTAGTTTGAGTTTCTGAAATCACCGAGTTCAATTTGTCAATAGTATTATTGGCTTCTTGTAGCTCATTATCTTTCAATTCTAGTTTTTCCTTTAACTCATCAATCGTAGTAATGTATGTTTTATTTTCCACATTAATTTCTGACTCGATAATTTTTAAATCATTTAATTCCAGATTTAATTCATTTATTTTCTTTGATAATTTAGAATTTTGGTTTTCAAGATTATATTTCTCATCTTGTAATTCTTCAATAGTAGCATGATATTCTCTTCTCGATTTGGTTAATGAATCACTTAAACGTTCACATTCATTATTTAAATCAGTATTTTGTTCCTGTAATTCTGCAACTATTTCAGCTTGTTGTGCATTCTTAGATAATTCTTCAACCTGTAACTTTAATGATTCATTTTCAGCTGATAATTGTTCAACCAATTCAGTCTTTTCATCTAATTCAATTTCGGATTGTTTCATTTTACTGAAGATAGTCTTCATTGAAGAAATCCTACTTAATAAATTATCATAAGACTGTTGAATTTCATCACGCTCTATTTCAGTTTGTCTTAGTTGTTCGGTCAAGTCAGTGGTGTTTAAAGTTAAGCTAGATATTTGGGCTTGTAATTCAGCAATATCATAACCATTATTGTGTTCAATAGGTTTAGAATCTTCAATCAATTCTTCTCGAGGCTCGTTCGCCACTACTTGGACTTCCTCCTCATCCTCAGCTTCCGGCTCTGCTCGGGTGGCTCCTTCTTCTTCAACTTCTGCTTCTACTTCTACTTCAACAGGTGTTATAGGATCTGTTGGTATAGCTTCAACATCTTCGTGAGTAGTATTTATATGGTCGACAATATCGTCTGACTCAGATGGTGGATGTGGAATATTATGCAGCTTCTTCTTGTGTTTAGTCATCTTCTATTCTAATCGTCTATAATACAGGCAAAAATGGAGACTCTCTCAAATGTCTTCTTTTTGTAGTTATTTGGTAAACAACAAGATTGGTGGTGCTGTAGTCAAAAGTTAATGCGTTGGTCTTTCAGTTGTGCATACAAGGCTTCCCTTTGAAAAAAAAATTGAGGGAGACAGACCAGAAAAAAAAAAAAATCTTTCTGCAAGAAGATTTTTGTGGCACGTGACTTTTGGGAATAAATATTTTGCAACCAAAAATCTTCTCTCTCTTTGTCTTCTGTTGATTCACATTTTTATTTTTAGTTTCATAAAACCTCCTTAATATATTTATCAAAGCAGGAAATAATCCAACTACTCGGAATGACTTTCATTTTTAACTTTCAATTATTTTAAGCATATTGAAAATTCATTTGTAAAGGGGGAAGGAAAACATTCAGTTTGGTTTCTTTTTGATCTAATTATAAATGGATTCTACCAAAGTTACAGATCATTAGCATTGAGACAGCCTGGGGGAAGATAAATCAAGCTATAAATAACTAATTCGTTCTTTCTTAGTTTTATACTGGCACAACAAGTTTCATTTGTAAATATGGGAATGTGTATTTATAGGTTCAATACTTGAAAGGAGATCAAATAAAGTGTTGATTTTCTTATCGTACAATTATTAATCAAAGGAGACCCATAAAGTTTATTCATAATTAATCTTCTCCTTTTTTCAACTTAAATAGTTCTCTTTTAAGCATACTCCTTTTCCTTTTATACTATAATTAAGCTTTTATATTCTAAGGGTCAATTGAATTTTTTTTTCATCCTCATCGGGATTTATCAAACCACTTTAAATCTAATGTTGCATCAGTGCTCGGTGAACTACATTGCAACACACTCAGAAATGCCTTTAGTCAATAGCCGCCAATGGGCCTGAATAAACGACTAACTGTTCAAGGGAGTGATTCAAGGAGTATTTAGTATTTATGTTTGCTTATCATGAGGTAAAAATCACATATAATTAGACGTTATAGCATATGGAATTTGGTATCGTTTTTCCCATACAAAAAACACAGTTTGTCTAACCTCGTGTTCAACTTATTAAATGTCATAATATAAATTTATATGAAGTTTCCTTCTAACTTAGATTAATGATGTTTCAAAGATCTATAATTAGCAATTGATACATAGAGATGATCCTTTACAATATGTATATTTTGTTTATTGTTCTAGAATCATTCTCTAAGCGCATAGAACAATGTACTGTTGGAATTGTTACTTTAATAATAATTCTAACAGTTATAAAGAGAGAGCAACAGAAAAATATTAGAATTGAATATTTTTTAATATGTGTATGTACATGTTGTTTTTAATTACTTGCATATTTAAAAATAATTAAACTTTAAAAATAATAATTTTACCCATAAGAAGAATTATCATCTCCCTTTTTAAATCTTTAATTTACTAATTAATTAAGATAAATTTATTTCGTAAAAATCATCTCATTCATTTTTTTCAATCTTTTTGTTTTTAAAATTTCTCTTTTGTTTCAAGTAAAGAGCAATTTTCAAACTAATTCAAAACTCTCTTCGTTTTTTTTCCTTTAGTTGTAATTAAGAGGAGTTACTAAAGCAATGTCTTCTATGAGTGTTAGCTCACTCATTGACAAATCGGAAAAAGATAAACAGGAGAAAAGATCAGGATCTGCCGTTGGTTCTCCACTAGAAAAAAATCAGCAGCAATCTCAACAGCAACCGCATCAGCAATCACAACAACAATATCAACAACAACCTTTACCTCATCTACAGCAAACACAATATAGAACATACATGTCATCAGCATCAGCACCAGCACCTCTACCTAGGCTATCCGAAGTACATCAACAACCACCATCTTCCTTAGCCCAGCAACCACCACCACCACAACAACAACCGCATCCCATGTCCATATCATCATCATCGGGTTCTTCAACTAATCCACTACAACCATCTACTATAGAAACATCACCTGGATTATTAGCATTATTAGGACCTAATATAACTTCATTCCCGTATTCAGAAAAAGCATTTATAGAAGCCTTGAAATTGCGAACAGAACAAGAACGTACAAAACAAGATTATTATCGAGTGGAAACAGCCAATAAGAACATGACCATCCTACAAACAGCATTGCGAGCTCAAATACCACCCCACCTAATACCAGGAATGTGCGTGGGTGCCATTCCTGAATTGACTGAAGAACAAACAAAAGCAATGTCACAAGCCATTCCTAATTGGGATACACGACCACCACAACCACAACAACAACCATTTCCACAACAACAACCGTATCCACAGCAACCAATAGTAGCATATCCCCAGCCACAACAACTCACTTCCGAACAACAAATGCAGTATCTCCAACAACAACAACGACAAGTGATTCTTCAACAACAACTGCAGCAGCAACAACAACAGCCACGTCCAAACCCGCCACCACAAGGATACCCAGAATCAGGAGGACAACCACAATTTCAAAAATCGCATAGACCTTCAACTAGTAGTAGTAGAATAACATCAGATACGATGAATGCAAACCCCATACCTCCAATGAGTTATAGATTTGGTGCAGGAACTAACATCAACAAGAGACCACTATCCCCAGCCAAAATCGGTGCAGCGGCAGTAGCCAACCTCGCGACCCCAACAGTACCATATCGGGGATCATTTTCGACTGGTCGAAGAGCACCAATGCGGGGTCATCAACGTCATTATTCAATGCCAGCAGAATCTCCTGGGTCACTGATATCAACCTCTTCAAATGTACGCGCCACACGTTCATCAAATCGTCGTAGTTCACAATCAAGTATCGATCTAAGTGCAATAGAATCCACCGAAGCGGCATACGCGAGCGGTAAACGAGCATCAGTCGGCACATTACAATCACCATTAGGCGCACAATCCACCATTCAAGTCAAACCAATCCCCGCCCAACCATTGCATAAACAAAGCAAACTGCAAGTCGCCCCACTGCAGGAATCAATGACTTCTTTTCAACATATCATCCAATTTCATCATTGGAAACCCGAGGGACCAACCGTGGGAACAGGAGATCCTAGTCGGGCACATAAACGACATAAATCAGTTTCAAACGATGAAATTTCTCAAAGTAGACAAAGTAGACAAAGTACTCCCAGACATAGTGTCCCTCCGATGCCTTCTCCACTTCAACGACCAATGGCTACTCCCCAAGAAGAAGAACAGACACTGCGTCCTCCGACTGGGCTGTCAAGGGAGACAACTGTTAAACAAGAATCAGGGCTTGAGCAGGATCCAAATCTGTCAATAGATACTTCGATGAATGATACTTTGGGACTGAAGATTATTCCGGAGGATGTTAATCCACCTCTGGGTCACGGTCGTCTGGAGCTGAATGTTGGGAGATATCCTCATAATATCATGTCTCAGAATCAGGAATAAGAACATGAGATTGGCATTATTATAATTTAGTTCAATTCTTTCGTTTATTAATTAAATTTATTTGGGTAATATTTATAGAGATCATTTTATTTTTTTTTGTATTTCAAGGAAGGTAGAGCGTTTCTTCCTCTTGGGTTTTTAGGGTATTTTTGGCTTTATAATGATGTAGTAGTAATATTATCTATATATACAATTATTTAAACAAATATTAATTGTAAAATACTCAAGGGTTAGTTGGTATGCTTGTCTCTGAAGTTTGCGGGGTTAATTGTGTTTTTGGTTGCAAATTCCATATGTTTGTTTAAACAGTTAAATTTGAACTTCCTTCTTCAAGAATATGCTTCAATTACTGATTCTTAGTTCAATCCCCAGCGAGTCTCAATTCTATACGGCTTCTGCAAAGGTCAGTTGTAAAGAATAAAATCTTTTTTGAACCCTTTAATTTCAATTATTTATATAAATTTTATATATTACAATACAACGGTTTTTTTGCAGTCAATTGGTCATTGTTCAAACAAGGAGTTGCAAAAAAATGTTCATTGTTTACTGAAACATCCCTTATCACACCCAATTGGGAATAATAATTCCCAAAAAAAGATAACAATGAAATGTTCTATGCATTGTTAGTGCCGTATGTAAAGAGGGTTTCTAAAGAGGCTACTGTATACATATATCCGAAAGGGGATTGCGCACTTGAGAACTCAATTGGCAATTGATATGCGTGTACATAACAACATGTCAGTAGTCAATTCCACCCAACTTGAGACAATCTAACTTATCCTAAATGTTGTTGAAATGCTTCAAACAGCTCCTCAGCCATCAATTCAATCTCCTCTAACGACAACACAATCATTTCATCGTCCTCTTCGTCTTCACCCTTCATAGTTTCATCGTCGTCCTTATCATCATTCACAACAATCTTTTCAGAGTCAATTTTCTCAAAAGTAATATTGGACTTCTTAATACTCGTATATTCCTTCTTCAAATCATGAGCAAGACTACGAATAGTAGCTTCACTAATGTTATCACTTATCAAATATGCACACAAATCCTCTAACCAAATCTTATCATATACATAATAAACATCATGGAACCGAAACAATTCTTTTAAATCCAACAATGCCTGTAATATAAGTCTCTTCCCACCTCTTAAATTATAATAAACGTCATCCCATACTTTTTCTATCATTTTAAGATTTCTATGGAATGGATATGACAATGCTCTTCTAATAGAGGTTATAACTGCCGATTGAAGATAGTTTGAATTTGTACCCAGTACGATGATTCTAGAATCTAGACATGAAAATTGGGGAACTATTTTCCCAATAGTCCATGCACTTTCAATATGATGCTCACCTTCATTTTCTCTTAAATCGAAATGGAATGCAAATAATAGACAAATCATCAAGACCAAGATTTCCATCTTGGTGTTGTTATCTTCAATTAAATAGGTCTTTCTGGGTAAGTTCATCATTTTCTCTTGTTCTTCCTTTGTGAATTCGACTGGCATAATGGCCGACCTTTCAGACTCAGGAGTTTGTTGTTGCTGTTTATACCATTTCAAGAATTTTTGCGTGAATGGATTCTTCCATTCCATCAATTGCTTAAAATACTTATCATCTTCATTAGGATTGGGATATTTCTCCATTATATAATCAGCTGCATATATTTCAGGATCAAATTTGATATTTTCTTTAATTAGACGTTCAATTATCCTATCATCTTCAGCTGTATTCTCAGGATCTCCCAATTCATTAATATCATTCCCGTTGGATACAGAAATACCTACAATCTTATCATATTGATTATTGAACCCATATTTATTTCCTTCAATTGTGATAGCTTCTTCTTGTACTACAGCATCCTGTTTGATCTCCCAATTGAACGCCTCCCCTTCAGTCAAATCCTTCTCCGCTTGAGTCTGGGTATTGTCAACATCCAATTCTTCAATCAATGGCCTTGGAGCTTGTTCCTGTTGTGCTGGAGGAGGTTGAAGTTCATTAGTACGTGCCAATAATTTACTAGTCAAATCCAAATCAGGGAAATGTTGACCTTTTGTCTCTTTGGGGATCTTAACTTTTACTGATTCACTCTTGGAATCAAATTCTGCATGTGAACGATCATCATCTATACATGGATGTGGTAATCTAATTCGAAGATAATAGGGTGGTAATGAAAATATGAATAATTCATTATCTACAATCATTTCAATGTTGGGTGCGCTGAATCTGATATGGGAGATCTTAATGGATACGTAAATGAATTCATCATCTTGATCAATTGTAAAGAAGGGCGTTATCATTTTCTTTAAGTCGAACAGAATAGATCAAGGAGTGTGATATTTAAATTGTTTCGAGATGAGATGATCTCCCTAAACTTGGTGGGAAATAAGATTTCGCAGGGGCTGTCTCAAAGAGGAAATAAACCTTTTGCCGCACGATGTTGAACAAAAATTTTAGACTCACGATATTTATCTTTCTACTGGCATACTTGTTAGCAAGAGATACATCTACAGCATTCTATATATCAAACACTAGTCATGGCCACCGCCGAAGAAAATATAAGTTCAGAAAAGCCAAAGATACCGAAGCGTAGATTTATAGGTAAAAAGACATCTACAACCACATCCACCAGTCAACCTGGTGAACAACCCCTTATCAAAACCGTCAATCCAAATCGTCATATCGGAAGAGTATTAAATCAGATTCCAGATGACATTTTAAACGATAAAGATTTAAACAACGCTATTAACCTCTTACCTTCAAACTATAACTTCGAAATTCATAAAACTGTCTGGAACATCAGAAAAGCTAATGCCAAACGAGTAGCATTACAAATGCCAGAAGGTTTATTAATATACAGTTTAATCATAGCGGATATTTTAGAACAATTCTGTCAGGTTGAAACTCTCGTTATGGGAGATGTATCCTATGGTGCATGCTGTATTGACGATTATACTGCGCGTTCTTTAGATTGCGATTTTATTGTTCATTATGCACATAGTTGTTTAGTACCAGTTGATGTTACAAGTATAAAAGTATTGTATGTTTTCGTTACCATTACAATCGATGAGACTCATTTAATCAAGACCATCAAATTGAATTTTGAACGTGGGACACAATTAGCTGTATTTGGAACTATTCAATTCAACCCCACCATTCATTCAATCAAACAGAAACTTGAAAATGATTCGGAGAAACCAATCTATCTTATCCCACCACAAACAAGACCACTTTCCAAAGGTGAAGTGTTGGGTTGTACTTCTGTAAGACTAGATAAAGAACACATCAAAGGAATGATATATGTCGGAGATGGAAGATTTCATCTTGAATCATCCATGATACATAATCCGGAAATACCGGCATACAGATATGATCCATATTCCCGAAAGTTCACCAGGGAGTATTATGACCAAAAGCAAATGATCAATGTTAGACAGGATGCTATTAATGTAGCCAAAAGAGCCAAGAAGATTGGACTTATTTTGGGAGCATTAGGTCGTCAAGGGAATCCAATCACCTTAGACAAATTGGAACAACAGCTCCTGGCCAAGGGGATTCAAGTTGTGAAGATTATATTGAGTGAAATCTTCCCTCAGAAGTTGTCAATGTTTGACGATATAGATGCGTTTGTACAAGTTGCATGTCCAAGATTGTCTATTGATTGGGGATATGCGTTTAACAAACCATTATTGACTCCATATGAGGCAATGGTAATGTTGGAAAAAGATGTTATGGGTAATGAGAAATATTATCCTATGGATTATTATTCCAAAGATGGATATGGTAGAGGACAATTACCAGATCATAGTAAATTCATTAATATATAATAATCCATATTGTGTGTTCTATATAGATTTCTCAAGTTCCTTTACGTATGCATCTTCAATACCTAATAATGTAGCCAAATCAAAATCAGACCAAGTGAAATTGAAATCAAGATATTCTTGATTTATGATATTTAATTTATTGTAAAATTTTACCAATGAAATGAATGAACTATTGACAACTTCATTAACCACAATTGGAGAATTTAACTTTAGTAATTCCTGTTGGATCTCGATCATGGCATTAGGTAAATAATTCTGCAAGATTTCATCAGTTTTAACAAACCCATCTATAGAGTATAGTTTATTCTCTTTGATTGGCTCATATATTGACACTTCAAAGAAATCATCAGTGAAAGGACAAATCATGTTTATAATATTATAATAATCCAACAAATTACAATTCTTTAAAATATTCTGCAATTCATATTCAATCAATTCTTGAGTCAACCCATCTATCATATCATTAATTTCTAAAACTTTATTGGACAATAAATTAATCGGTATGATTTTAGTAAGAATTAAATCAAGGAAATTTTGTTTTATGATTAATAAATCCAATTTATTACTGAATAGTTTATTATCCTTAACATGTTGATAAAAGACTTCAATTGGTTCATTCACGATTAACTTCAAGAATTTCGAACTTTCTTCATCTGGTAGATTTAAGATAGTTTCCGTGGTCATTTGATCAACAATCGGCAAAATATCACCATAAAATTCAATGATCCATTCTGGAGGTTGTAAATCAAGATTCAATTCCAATTGAGCCGAGTTACTAGTTCTAATTGTCGCCAATCTATTGGTAATAATCATAAAGATCCTGTCTTGACATGTTTTCACTAAGTTCTTAACGGTATCCACAAAATTACCAGCATCTTTCAATTGTTTATCAAACATGAATGAATACAACTCAACCAAGTTAAAAATCTGGAATATAATCGATAATTTGGTTTCACTAGATATAATAGATTCGACTTTTGACTTAACGGGACGTGACAATGATTTCAAGATTTTATCCAAAACATCTTGAATAATACTCTTAAACTCTTCACGTTCTTTTTGGTCTTCAATCTCGTCAAGAAGAAAAATGCTATTCATAGTTTCAGATTCATTAACAGCGATTGAATGGACATATGCCAATAAATCACCCACGAATCTAACTGGATCATGTGCCGATAAGAAAATGGGTCTTGATAAGTCCGATTTGGAAGGGTTTGAATCAATATCACATTGGATTTGTTTGTAGAATTCATCGACTAACAGCTTTGATCTAGTTTCACTGAAAATAGTAACAATGGACAGGAAATAGTTGAATTGAGTTTTCAAATAGCGGAAACATTGATGTAGGATGACCAATCTCGACTTTTGGTTAAGTGAATATAGATTACTCAATGTTTTATTTGTATAGGTGACAATTCTATCTCTGGCTTTATTTATAATATGATTGCTCTTGTTAATTATTTTAAGCCCTAGCTGTGGATTATCAATCGAAAGTAAGATTGAACAATTTTCATTGATTGTTTCAGCTTTTGATAAAACTGTAAAGAATTCTTCATTGAGGTCTCCTGAAGTCAATATAAACTCCTCATATTCATTCAATGTAAATTTATCTTTAAAACTTATCAATAAGCTCTTCTTTAATCCAATTAATTTTTGTTCATCTATTAAATGTTTAATTTGATTATTAAAATCAGTTGAGAATTGATAATTTTTAATAATCTTTTCATTAGTAGATTTATTCAATTCATTCAACTTATTTAATCTTGATTCAATCGCTTTCAATTGTTTCACTAAGGGGGCATATTCCTTAAGGATTAAACTTTGATTCTTGATTAATTCAGTCTCAATTTTCCCACGTAATTTCTTTCTAGTCATGGATCCAATCACACCAGGCTCAATCAATTCAGTTACATATTCATCATCATTGATGACTTTCTCCTCCAAATGGGTAAATATCTCTCTGATATGAGAATCGCTTAAGGAATCATTCAACACACGAGAAAGTCTCGTTGTCAAAGTGTTTGTTGAAGGGACTTGACTATCAGATTTATTCACCACTTCTACAGAATCATCAACAGGTTTATCCTTACTTAGTAATGACAATGACATCTGAGCATATTTCTCAGCTATAGAATCATCTTGAGTTCTTTCATTCTCATTTATAGTTTGTGACTTGTCTTGTTTACCATCAGATTTCAATATTCTTGATAAATTGGTATTCAAATTGGAGGTGAATCGTTTACTTAACGACTCAATGTTAGTCAATGACAATGCCGGTTGAGGCTGTGGCAATAGACTGTCACCATCACTACTCTTGTCAAAAGTATTAAAGTCTACAAAATCCATGGTGATTTCGGGTTGTGTGTTATCTGCCTGTGGGTGGTAAATTGAAAAACCTGAAGAATTAACATTTTTTGGCCAACAGTGCAAATATGCGTTGGTTGGTAGCGCAAATTGATCACCCGAAGAGAGCAAATCTGGATGTAGTACGTAATGACTTGAAGTCAACTTCTGAGATATGAGCGCTTTTGATCACTAGTTACATATATTTCCTTTAGGGAGAGATCTACAACTGCGCTAACTTTATTGCAAAATTAATGTGTGAGTATTTATAACAAATATGCTTATCCTATAAGCGACTATAAAATGAATGAAAATGCAATTATATAAACTAAACCGTAAGTATAATACTAGATTGTGTCAAAAAACCATTAAATATAGATAAACAATAAAATATAGCAAACAAACAACGTTTATATCAATCCCGAAATGAAAATCAAAAACAAAAAGCAAACTTTGAAAAACACACTTATGATAACAAATCATTAATCTTCATACTTCCTCTTCGTTTATCCTTCTCTTCCTCATTATTCTCCACTATTCTCGTCGTCGTCCTTAACGATGGAGCTTCAACTTGACGACGTATCAATTCGTTGTTATTGATATTTGAATCTAAATTCATACCAGCAGCAAGTAAAATATTCGATATCCCTACCAAGTTCTTCTTTTCAGGTGTGAGGGTATAGTTAGTAGTCGCTTCTTCATCAGTTGAGGAATTGGCTACTTCTTCCTCCGAAATCTCTGCGTTACGTTTACGTCCCTGACTGATGGATTGAAGACATTTTGATGCATTGACAATTTCTAGCATATCTGTATATGATAAGTTTGGAGAGTAAGTATTAGTGGTTGATGCAGAATCATGGGAGAATACAGATGAAAGTGTGGAAGTGCTAGTTTGTTTAGGAGTGACAGGTTCTATAGGAACTTGTGGTAAAGGAAGTGGAAGCAATGGATTATGAATATCAGTTGCAGAACTGGATGAAATAGTTGATTTCTTCAATTGTGGTACTTCTAAATGCTCTGGTGGGTTTGAAATGGGAGGCAATGGCATTGGAGAACCTAAGTCAAACTGATAGATGGAATCTAATCTTAATTCACCAAATCCTTTGTCACCAGGTTTCAAGCATTCATCAGGGAACTGACTACCAAATAAAGGTATCAATTCATATCGGACAAAATAACAGCAACGAATAGCTAAAATGCGACATAATTTATAAGGAAGCCAAGTACCTTGAATCTTTAAGAACCCACCTCTTATACGCTTAATATATTGTTGATATTCTTTTGGAGTTGACTCAAGTAATTTTACAATATCAGCTTTTGAATGACTGGCTGCAGAAGCACATAAAGAAGCTTTCCATACTCCTGTGAGATGAACATAACCTGTCTCGTAATCCCATATTATCCAATTGTTATCATTGATGGGATATTCATAAACGGTTAAATATGGACGTTGAGGATCAATAGCCGAAGTTGAATACTTCTTCATGACAATTGAAGGATATATTTTATCATTTAATAAATTTAGTTGATCTATCGGAATATAGGATGTATCAGAAGGTAGTTTATGAATAATGAAGTTGATGGCATTCTGACTGAAAATATTAGCAATGGATTTTGATCTAGATGAGGATGAACCAGTTGAATTTCGTGCTTTTGGTTTTGTGGAAAATTTGTTAATCATTGTGGCTGATTTAGATTTCTTATGCGATTTTTGATACTTGAAAACCGTTTGGTAAGGAATTCTCTTCGGTGATTGCAAATTCTTTGGTGATCGCTTTGCTTGTTGTTGAGGCGATGCCAATGTATTATGTTCGGTTAATGAACTCATCGAAGGTAATGAAAATCTTCTTGCAATATAGTTGTTTGTGTTGGTGAATTGGTGGTTTTGATTTTGAATTTGATTGTGTTGTAAAAAATTGGTTGCCGATAATTCAATGGTTGCGGAATTGTCCAGGTGCGAAAATAAGGATTGTATAGGGTATGAAATTGGGCTACTAAAAGATAATCTTCTTTGATAACCGGAAGAAGATGACGACGAGGATAAAGATCTATGATGGTTGGTAAAAAGAGACAGATGCTTCTCGGGACTTGTTAATGGAGTGATCGGATTCAATAGATTAGGCGATGACAATGACCTGTTACTATGGGGGCTTGGAAGGATCGGTGGTAATTGATAATGAGATTGCTGCAAACTAGATCTCAGGAATCTAGTAAGTATTGGTAGAGTAGGTGGTGCACCGGTAAGTGAATCTACTGACAGTTGTGGTGGTGTATATAATAAGGGGGTTGTTGTAAGTGTGGTTTCATTTGTAGTGGTGAGGATGGAATTTGGGATATAGGGAGTTGAATCCGGGTAATTGGAAATATTATTTGACGATGGAATCATCACGTTTATATTTTTTTTTTTTGCTGTTAGTAACTGGCTGAGCGATGAGAATGCAAAAATTGGGAGCGCAAAATTTCAAATTTGTTTGGCTGCAGCTTTCTTTTTTTTCTAATTAGGGAGTTCGTGCGAAGGGAGGGGATATGGTTGGCTTAATTTTTTGTTTGGGGGAAAAACTGTTGGAAAATATTTTTTTTACCACGAAACAATAAAACTTTGTGACACGGCCTCGCTGCGGAAAAAATGTAGCTTGAGTGATTAATTGGAAAAAAAAAATATTTCTCTAGGTCGAGATTATTATGTCAAAAAAAAGCAACTCCGAGATTAGCACTCACACTAAATGAAAATTGGATGCAAAAAAACCCGATAAAATAAATTGAAAAAGAATGATCTTCTTTTTTGAAATACGATAAAATAAATTTTAATCGATGATGTCAATTATCCTTTTCTTTAAGTTTGTTCAAAGTTTTTGTTCAATAGTATACCAAATAGAAAGTTAATAGCAACCAGCTAACTCTAATAGATTGGGTATAGCTTTTGATTATTCCTGAACTTGTAAGTTTCAGACTTCTATTGAAAAACTTTCTGGGAAGCAAAAAGTATGATATTGATTAAGAGTCAATGACTAAAAAGGAGCTTCCGAGAAAAAAAAAACAAATCGCTTCGCCTCACAATGCAACTGATACTCCTTTGAGATTTCGTTTAGTTGTTGAGAAAAGTTCTGAAACGGTTGAAACGGTAGGTACTTTGTTCAAATCTTTTTTCAATGTTCTTTCACCGAATGTGATATTCTTTTAACTATCTTTGAACTTCCTTACCTATTCGAAAGATTTCCAAGGGCGGGAATTTCCAGTAGTTTATATATTCTTTTTGGATTGGTAAAAATAAGTTCAAAAGAAATACTTATGACCATGAGTTCATTTGAAAATTAAGGAGATTCTCCTCAATATTTATGCGTTTAGAGTTTCGTCCTTGGAATATCATTTTAATTAAGTTAGTTAAGTTATTTAATATCTCAAGTATATATTATAAACTCAGCGTCATCCAAGGTCAACAATAGAATTATAATTTGAAAAATAATAATTTTTGGGAAATTGCATCATTGCAGTCATCGTACTAACTGGAACTTATGGAACCTGATTTATTACAACGAAATGGAGATTCTGGAACCAAAAGAAATTGAAAATTATTTTTTGAGTTCGCTTCAATTTTTCAATTGTGGTTGCATCATTTTTTTAGCCTTCTTCAATTTTGCAACAATCGCAACAACAGGGTATAATTACTCATCATAGAAATGTCCACCGAATCTAAATTATTGCATATCTGGCTTAGTAAGCTATTTCCATTAAAAATATCGTTCTAGACATTCTAGAATTCAATCAAAACGTAAACACCAGATGAGGGTCCTTTTGTTTTGACTTCTTTTGAAATGGATCAAGCAACCCCAGGGCAAGACAGGCTCAACCATATCAATAGTTGGCCTGGGGTTGCCACCTGTGATCAGAATTACAATCTCTTTGATTTGATCAGTATTAATCGTTACAGCTATCTCCTAAGATTGTTCCAGCATAGACAATCGAGCATAATAGAAGACCTTCTTTCTGAACAGTCACACGCTCTCTGAGGTAGTAAAATTGCAATATGGCCATTCCCCTATTTTACAAACTTTTACATTACCTACACTGAGGTGGGGGGTTCCAAAAGAATTCCTATTTGTTCGGTTAATGGTGAACCCCACCTGGCTAAAAACCTTAGGAAGCAAGGCTGAAGATGGGTTTGCAGTAAATATTTATTAGATGTTCAAAGTATGAAAAATCTTGCCAAGAAAGTTAATTTAATCCCCATTGTTGCAAAAAGTGATACCCTTACTCACGAAGAATTAAAAAATTTTAAATCAATAGTAAAACAAACATTGAATACTGAAAATATTAGTATTTGTCACATGATGAAGAATGGAGGGTGGGGGACCATCATAATAAACCACAATATCGATAAGACTTTTCTTTTGACGATTCGATGGAAACTACAATATCGAATATTCTTGGCGACTCCCCCTCTTTGACACTTTTCTGACCCTGACTACAACGGCTCTGACCTTCCATTGATCTTGGGTCCTCCATGACCGGCTAACTCCAACTTTTTCTAAGCTTGCTTAAGTTAAAATGTGTACATTGCCGCCAATCAACCTGAAATTGTTTCGGACCCGTATTTCTGCGCTAAACCCACGTATTCGCCCCCAATAAGCCCATAAAAAGTGATGAATTTTTTTTTGCAGCCGATCAATCCGTTTGCTGCATAGCCTTATCGCACGAGCAAAATAAAAAAGGTCAATAATTACGATTGCGTTTTTCCCCCAATTGAAATAGGGCGCGGAAGCTTTGAACCCATCATCGAAAAAAAATCAAAAACGTTTAATCTGAACTTCGCCCCAGATAATCTTTATTTTTGTCATCATTCAAAGAACAACTTTCTAGTGTCAATATTATGATAAGCAGAATAACAAGATCTTCCGGACCGAGATCTGCTCTTGGTATGAGAACCATTGGATCCAGATCTCAGTTTTTAAGATTCAATTCGACAAATCAACCGAAACCTATCAGTCCTCATGTACGTCCGATAATATCTTTGAAAGTGAATACACGTCATACGAAATGTCAGTACTAACAAAGAAAGATATAGTCCATTTTTTATCGTCAATTTTCGAAACCGTTTTTAAAGATTTTAGCTATTTCATTAGGTACTTATTACGGGTTAATTTATCTTTATGAATACTTAGAAAATCAAGAAAAGACAGTATCAAAAAATTAAGTGTATGTTTTCTCATAAATATTTATTTTTAATTAATTAATTACATACATAAGTCAACGACAGTTTTTTACGAATGGGGAAACTCCTAAACATTAACAGCAAGTCTTAACTTATCAGAAACAGCATCCAAGAATTCAGTAGTGGTGACATAAGCATTTCTTTCAGTATTACCCATAGCTAATGCTAAATCCTTAGTCATAACACCATCTTCTTGAACAACATCAATGGTAGCTTGTTCCAAAATATTGGCAAAATCAACAACATCTTGAGTACCATCGAGTCTACCTCTTTGAGCAATACCTCTAGACCAAGCGAAAATAGATGCAATAGAATTAGTAGAAGTTTCTTGTCCCTTTTGATGTTGTCTATAATGTCTGGTAACGGTACCATGAGCAGCTTCTGATTCAAATGCTTTACCATCTGGAGTCATCAAGACAGAAGTCATCAAACCAAGAGAACCGAAACCTTGGGCAACGATATCAGATTGCACATCACCATCGTAGTTCTTTAATGCCATAACGAATCCACCCTTGGATTTAATCATTTGAGCAACCATATCGTCGATTAATCTATGTTCGTACCATAATCCCTTTGCATCGAATTCTTTAGCATAATGGGATTCGTAAATTTCTTGGAAAATATCCTTGAATCTACCATCATATTTCTTTAAGATAGTGTTCTTGGTGGACATATATAATGGTAAGTTCTTAGTTAAGGCCATTTTGAAAGAAGAATGAGCAAAACCACGAATAGATTCATCAGTATTGTACATAGCTAAACCAACACCAGATCCTTTGAAATCATAAACAGTACGAGTTTCTGGTTGACCACCATTGGCTGGAGTGAAGGTCATTTCTAATTTACCTGGTTCTGAAATGACTAAATCAGTTGCCTTATATTGATCACCATGAGCATGTCTTCCAATAACAATTGGTTCCTTCCAACCTGGAATCAATCTTGGAATTCTTGGAATGATAATAGATTCTCTGAAAACAGTACCATTTAAGATATTTCTAATGGTACCATTTGGAGAAAGCCACATTTTCTTTAAATTGAATTCTCTAACACGAGCTTCATCTGGAGTGATGGTAGCACACTTAACCCCAACACCATATTCTTTAATTGCATTAGCAGCATCAATGGTAATTTGATCGTCGGTTTTGTCACGAGCTTGAATACCTAAATCATAATATTTTAAATCAACATCCAAGTATGGAGTAATTAATTGTTCACGAATACGGTGCCAGATGATACGAGTCATTTCATCCCCATCAAGTTCAACAATTGGATTGGCAACTTTGATTTTGTTGAGTTGGGTGGAAGTGGTCGAGAATGCACGAAGGGTTCTCATGGAAGTAGTCTTGATTGAATTGGATGCTCTAATCATGATTTTCTATAGTGTATGAATTGCTGAAATTGAATAAAAGAAAGCAAACCTAAATTGATAAAAAAAAAAATCTTTTGATGAAAATTTTATAGTTTCTTCTCTGTACCTGTCACTCGGTATTTTGAACAAGGGGTTCTGGTTCTACCTAACGAACAAATTTCGGTGGAGTGCAGCGCGGTTAGTTCAAATTAGTCACAACAATAATCAAATTTATCGCCGAAAACGGCGCGCTTTCGGTTGCAAAAAAATAATCGACATTTCATGACAACCCAAAGAATGTGGAATTGTTGAATTTATTGTTACAGATAGTCAACAGGGTCTCTATAAGTAAATTTCTCTCAAGTATCATGTAATTACTCTCTTCTGATAGATGAGACTGCGTTAGAATGTGCAAATTTCAAATTAATCGTCTTGATACAAACACTCCAATGCTTGCGACATTCATGGTGGTGTACTACTGCAAGTTTAATACCTTGTAGTTTGCATTGAATGATAGTAATCATCTAAAGAACAGCATAAATGAAGCAATGGTCTCTTTGAACACTTCTTTGAAATAATAGTGGCGTGTTTGTTATCTTTCAATTTTTTGTAGAACCTTCATACAAAATTTAATTTTGTGTTGCAAAAAAATGAACAGTAAACACCATCAACAATCAACAATCAAATGGACTTCAATCAACCTTATTTATGTTGTCATATATGCTTCAAAGGTCTCAAGGAGCTCTCAAAAACTGATGGAAAGTTGCTATTAACTTCTTGCGCCCACACAGCATGTAACAAACACCTAACTCGTAAGTTCCCATAAATGAAAAAGATCTCGATTTCAGCGACTTACTAACACATCATGTAGAAAACCAAAAATACACACATACTTTGAAATGTCCAATATGTAACCAGGAGGGAATCTCGACTATGGCGATAGATGAAAGTACTCATCCTGATGTTCTTGATTTTTTAGTACCTGTAGATCAAAAATTCGACATGCTCCTACGAGGAATGAGATTTCAACAGCGAACACTACTGGATAAGTGTCTATATCTAGAATCCCAAAATAAAGAACTTTCAGACAAGAATAATAAACTAAACGATAAAGTAAAGAAACAGAGAGAGTTTCTATATTCTGCAAAAGATGAGATTGCTCAATTAACTAAAGAAAAGACAAATCTTGAACTAGAACTCCAGCAATTGCGAGAAAAGGAACGTCCTCAAACAATCGATCTATCAGAATATGATACATCTGCAGATTTGATTATTCATGAACAAAGAGAACAACCTAAATCTATCCATAATGGAGTAAGAGGGTCTCATAATACATTTCTATCACAATTCAGGAGTGATAGAGATACTCGGGAAAGCAACAACAACAACAACAATGCTAATCAGCCAATCACATCTCTTCCTCCAGGAAGGAAGCAACGCCCACCCACAATTCTCCAAGGTCTTCAAGGAAATACTCCAGTTTTGCCAATAGTCCCCAATGAAGGATCAAGAAGACAATCGTTCTTTGCAGAATCAACAAAGATCGGAGAAGTAAATTCAATACTTTCTGCATCTTCCGGGGGGACCACCAGCACTCCATCCAGTTCTAGACACTTAGAACTAGCACCGCCGCTGAGAATATCTAGTGGATCATCTAATGGTACTTCCAAACTTAGTGGAAAAATGAGAAAGAGTCGTTCTTTGACGACACAATTAGCTTCAAGAATTGCTGCGAATATGAAAATTGGTCCACCTGCCTCTGCTGCTTCATCTGCTATGCAAATGTCTATTAGATTGCAAAATGATAGGATTAGGAAACCCCCGACATTGAATAGGAGTCTTAGAAGGGGTACGGATGTTTCTCCATATTTTAGAGGAGCATAATGACTAGAAAGATAGATACTATTAAATAGGGTAAATATTTCGCAATCAAAATTTTTGTGTCTTCACAAATGGTATGTGCGGGTAACACAGTGATTCTGGTTGATTTGGTAATTTTGTGATCAACAAAAAGTTAAAATTTCTACTGGCGGTTGATTTTCATAAACCATCAACATATTTCTTTTTTCTTGTTTTACAAATTCATTAAACGATCATATCTTTTTGATTTGACACAGAAAGACAGAACAGACAGGTATATATAAAGACCATAAGGATAAGTCAATCAACGAAGCAAAACACTTCGACTCTTCTTTTATTACAATTTTTTATTTTAAATTAATTTCTTGAGGAAAGATCTTTTTATTTACCAGAAAGATCTCAAGGACAAACACTTCCCCCCCCTTCATTGTGGATTCTCTGAATTAGCCAAAAAGACAAAACAGAAGACAAGGAGATAAGATACACATATATAATACAAAGTATATATCTGTATTAACCCTTTTTAAACTTCATTCTCATTCAAAGTATTTGTATCCTTTTACACAATCACTTCTAATACATACATTCTTCTAACATTATAATAATAACAGTTGATTCCCAATATAAGACTAATAATAATAATAATACTATAACAATGGATGAGGTTCAAGCGAAAGAATTCGATCCAGACAACTACAGAAACCTTTTGAATTCACTTACGGTCAATTCCAGAACAATAATCAATGAATTAACATCAATAGCAGAACAACATATTGAACATGCCACCGAAATATCCGAATTAATAGAAACTAGAATTAGGAAATGTGTACCGAAACAGAAATTATTTAGTATTTATTTAATGGATTCTATTTGTAAAAATATTGGAAATCCTTATAATGTTATATTTGGAAATGGATTATATAAATTATTTGTGGAAACTTATACTTTAGTGACTGATACTCCAACTAGACAAAGTTTGATTAATTTGTTTCGAACTTGGACTCAGAATAAGAATTCAATCGGTGGTGAAGTGTTTCCGAAGCTGGTTTTAGCAAAGATTGAAAAATTTATTATTCAGGCGACTTCAATATCAGCGTCTAATCCAATACCCAATAATAATAACAATGGTAATAATAATAATATTAATACAATCCCGGTGTCTAAACTAACACCGGAAATGTTGATTAAGGAAGGGAAAAGTTTATTGAAATATGTGATTAGTTTGGATAAAGCATTAGATCAATTTGGTGAATATAAACAATGTCTAGATTCTAAAGATAAGAAATTCATTCATGATATGGAAATTAAACGAAATTTATTAGTTCTGATTATAAATGAAACCGTTGATTCTATATATGTTGATATTCAAGGTAATAATACCAGTGGGGAGATTAAAAGTCTAGGTGGGTTCCTGAATGTTAATAATAAATTTGAAAGTAAAGTAGGGACATATCAACTGGATTTACAATATGTGAGAGCTCAATTAGATGAACATGTTTATCAACAAGATCAATATTTTAAATTAAATAAAAAGAAATTACAAGATCGGATTGAAAGGGATAAACTTAAACAAATCAAATTAGGAGAGAAAAGAAGAAGACAAGAATATCTTGAAGCTAATAAAGTTGTTATCGATCCTGGTGTTAAGAAGGATTTCTTTGTTAATATGACGCGGAGCATAGATCAAGATGTGAAATTTCTTGACTTGATTAGTCAATGGGGTAAGACCCCGGCGTACCGAACCAGCAACAAGAGCCTAGACACGGGTGAATCTAAAGCAATAAAGAAACAAGCTAATAATGAGCAAAATAAGAATACATTAGGATTTGATCTTGGTTCAATTGATTTCAGTGCCATGTTAGGACTGATGCCCCGAGAAGGAGAAGAAACAGAACTGAGTACCGGGTCATTTGGAAGTTTAGGTTCAAGTTTCTTATTAAATAATCCCACCAATCGAGTTGCTAGAATGGATGATAGCAGCAGCACACCCGAGGGAGAAGAAGATGATGACGAGATCCCCAGGGGAAGGTTTAATACATTTGGGAGAATACGACCACCGACACCCCCACCGCCGCCTCCACCTCGGGTAGAACAAGGTGAGAATGGGGAATTGTTATCGCCTACTGGGACTACTTCACCTCGAAAGATGAGTCTTTCGGAATATCAAACCCATAGGCATGAGTATCAACCTCATCCGAATATGTATGTGCCAAATATACCACCTGTGCCGGTGTCAAGTGCTAGTGAATCAATTGAACGGAAATCCAGTTTGAAGAGGAAGACTATTGGTGGAGAAATGCATAAAGTTGTTAAAAAGGTGAGGTTTAACATTTAGTTTGAAGAGGAGGACAGGGAGAGTAGAGCATATGTAGGATTTATAGAGTATTTACTAATAACACGAATTAACGAATTTTTAACAAGAGGATTATTCTCTGTTGTATAATCAAAATATCATAAATTTGTATTGTGTGTTTGCGTGTGGGTGTGTGTTTGTATGTGCAAAAACATATAAAATAGAATTATAACTCTTCCTAAACTAATTACTTATTTATAATCCAGATTTGCAAAAGTAATAATAATAATAATATCATTTCTCACATTGTTAGAAAAAGTGCCAAACCAAAAAATGCACTCTTGTTAACCAATTCCAGTAGAAGTACTAAAACAACATCTTCATACCTCTAAGGAATTAAATCAACGGGAACTGAATCTTAATTAAAATAAAAAAAATCAACAACAACATAGTATTAAAACAAACAAAAATTCATTAAAAAAAGACAAGTATCTTTCTCTCTCTCTCTCGTAGACTAACTGTCTATTGTTGTCTTAAAGAACCAGACTTATATAAATGCCAATAAGTAGTTAAGAATGGGAAAGCAAAGAAGAATCCCAAGACACCCCAATAAGCGACTTTAAATGGAACATATTTTCTACCTTTAACTTTGAATGGTAAATTTGAATAAACACCAGAAGCTGGAGTACCTTCCCAACCAGCACTCATTGATCTAAAAGAAGTTTGGAAATTTCTTTTAGCTAATGTATTTAATCTTGGAGTAACTCTTAAACCTAATCTTGTAGAAAGCATTGTGTATTGTCTGTGTTCAATTGAAATTGAAGTTGTAGAATAATTGATTATAAATAATCTATAATTAAGTAATGAAAAATTGTAACAAGTAGGAGAGAGAGTGAGAAGACAAAAGAGAAGAATTGTAGGCAGGTCGTGTACCTTGTTACTAAAATATTTAATCCAATAAAATTTCATTGGTTTAATTTTTAAATGAACTGATTTTATATTTTTTCTCTCTATTTGAAACTACTAACAAACTTCTCATAGTTAAGATTTTGTATGACAAATTCATTCTTCTAATTACAACTGAAAAAAATTATAAACTTACAGAATACTACACTGTTTCTTCCTTTATATCAATTAGATATTATATATAAGTAAACAAAATATCAAAAAATGTCTGTTGTTAGTAAAATTGCTCCAATCACAGGTACTTTAAAAAGAAAGATTATAGCTGATATCACTATTGGTATTGCTTGTGGTGCTGGTTTAGCCACTCTTTATTGGGAATATGAACATCTTTCAATTGTTAGAAAAAGAGAAGCTTATTATGCTAAATTAAAACAACAAAAGGAAGCTGAAGATTCTATCTAGATGGAGCATACCAAGAGAGAGAAAGAGAGAAGAATTACTGTTTTAACCCAATTTGATATTACATACCTTAGAGAAGAGAGAGAAAGAGAGATATAAGATTTGAAAGATATATGAATATATGAGGATTTTGTTACAATTTTACGATTGATTCGTATAATGTAATAAACCACAATTTATTTTTGCATTTAAAGAATTATTAGAGGATCTCCAACCAGTACAATCACCACCCTATATCAATTGATATCAATGAATGTTGAAACATTTTATTTTGACTCTCTTTTTTTATATAATGATTCACAATTTTTTGTTTATGAAAGTCAGTTCTGTTGTTTTTTTAGTTNTGTTGTTTTTTTAGTTTTTATCTTATTAGGAAATTTAGTTTTAAACATAGTTATATATTCAAAAATGAATATACAAACATATTAATATGAATGGAGAAACACTACAGAAGGAACATGAAGTCAATTACATTTTCATCTCTCTAAACTACGCACTATCTATAAATTGCCAAAGTCTAGTATTATTTACAATTCCATTTGATAGAATTATAATCTCTTTATCTTTCCCTTGTTTCTTAAATTTCTCTTGAAGATATTTAAAACAAGTTATTTCACTTCTAGTAATTCCTCCAATTATAACAATTATAATATAATCAGGATTAGGAATCAGACTTTTATTATTGGTTGTTCCAATATTCCCATTCGGGGTGATCCCATCTCTATTCTTATCATCCAGATGATCATCAAGATTAATATCAACCGTCTTACCAGCAAACATTGTATTCAATCCTAGATTATCCCAATTAGGACGTCTTTTGAGATTATTAATTGGTTTATATTTAAGAAAATCTCGGAAATATAATGATTCAACAAGACGATAGATTAATGGGACTGTATTCCCCGGTAATGTGAATGACGGATTCGGATATAGTTCAACCAAATTTGTCAGTTCTTGCTGAGTTTCATTTTGTTCCTCTTGCTCCTCTTCTTCTTCTAATGGATGTAAATTCCAAAACTTGTTAATTAACGTATAATTACTTTTGAAAGTATCTTGTCCGCCGGAAATACCGACTTGATAATTCTCTTCAGATGTGCCTTGACCGCTAGCACCAACGGGTCCTAAATGAGGTGGTGGTTGTTGTTTCTTTTGGGTAGTTAATCCCAAAGTACTCAAGAAATCAGAACCTGAATCTTGAATAACTCGAATCAATTTCAATTCAATCATTCGTTCCAAGGCAAAAGACGCCGATATTCCATAATTATCCTGTAATTCCGCCGAAATCCAATCTAGATCTCTGTTTGAAATTCCATCATTTATATATCCAATTAATAAAATCGTAGCATAGATGAATTCTTTTGGATAATTACAATTAAAGAAATATTTCAATTTTGATAATTGTAATTTATAATCCATTTCAAAGATATCATTTTGAAAATTTAAAAAAGTTTCATACTCATATTTAATATTCGATAATATTGATTCACCAATTGCTGTATGTTTTTTAATTAAATCTTGTTGCATGGTTAAATTTCCAAGATTTGATACTAATTGTTTCATATCGCTTAATGTCGTATCATTGGTTCCTGATCGATCTTTGAATTGTTGTTGAATGAATTTAGCTAATTTATTTAATCTGGATCCAATTAATGAAAAATTCAAATGTTTTAAATCTTGATTATATAATTCATCTTGATTCAAAGTCTTGTTTATATCTACTTCCTCCGGGAAATTCTTAATAGAATCAAATCTAATGTCAAATAAATCATCAATCAATCCATGATAATTCAATTGATTAAAAATCACAGGAGTAAAATCAATATTTCGTTCTAATACAATTAAATCAGTATTACTATGTAATTTCTCTTGATAAAATTCAATTTCTAACTGTGATAAATTTTCATTCAAATATTCTGGGATTTTACATTCTAATAATTGTGTAATTAATAAATCCAGATGATTTCCCTTTCCATATACATTTCGTAATTTTAATAAGTGTCGACGTTTAAGTCCTGAAAATAACACTTGTATCAAATTGGAAGTTAATTGATTCACTTGTTTTAAAGGTTGTTGGAAATAATCATCTATTCCTGAGAATTGATTAACTTCATTTAATAATATCCCATCGGTATATATTGGATATGTGGCCCAATTTGAAACTTTAATTCTCGAAGTGATATTAAATGGTTTAATTAATTTGGGGTCTTGTTTTAAAATTGATTGGAAATTAAGTATACCTTTAAATTCATCATTTAATAAATATACCAAAGATTTCTCTAAATCTTTAACAATAATATTTATCTTCAATCCATGAATATGATTTATAATCAGATGAATAAATTTAGTCAATAATTGAAAGTTTTTATCAATTGAACAACATGGAATTAGAATAATTAAACTTGAATATTTGGAAAATACATTCAATTGGATATCGGAAATACCTTCATTTAACCAAACTATGTTTTGAAATTTCCCGGCATCTTTTAATCTTTGGAATTGAGTTAATTGATTTAGTAGTGGTGATAGCAAGGGATCAAGGATTAATAAATTGTTAGAAGTTGAATATACTTTCAGGAGTTGGGTTAATAGATTTTGTAATGTTGATTCATTGAACTCATTCAAATTGTAACCATCACCTGCTGCTTCCACATTCGTCATTTCCTCCTTTGGGGTGTGTATTGACTTTAGAGGTTTATGGTTTAATCAAATTGGTTTTAAGAAAATTGGTTGTAAAAAAAAGATTTGATATTTTTATTAGAGAGGGAAAATTAACTATGTAGAAGAATTCATATAGAAG